TTCATTGGAATTGGATTTATCGGGGTTATTGTTGATGCTAGTGGGAGTGGGGGTTTGAGGGGGTTGATTTTGATTTTGTTCTCTTTGGGATTCTTGTTCGGATTGTTTTTTAGTTTTTTTGTGTTCTTTATTAGTCTCCTCTTGTGATGTTTCTGCTTTGGGATTGGTTGGGGGAAGAGTAGTTTTTTGGTTTCCATTTCCATCATTCATTTTTGCTCTTTTTATTTCGCCTTCTATTCCCATTAGAATTAACTTTCCTTCTTTGTCATAATTACCCCAAATTATTACTCCTGTATCGCTCCTTATGCCATTATGATGTCCACGATAGCCAAACTCACCAATTAAAAATTTACTTTGTTCTGAACTTCATAATCCCAAATCTACTTCAATATTGTCTTGATGATTTTTTATCAAGTCTTTTGGATAACCGGAGCGGAAAAATATTAATTCTCAATTTTCCTTTTCTAACAAAATTGATTTGGCTATCTCGAAAGTTGCTTCTTTGTCATGGGTTTTATCTCACCTACTTTTATCTTTTAAAATACTAGCAATTAATTTGTCTTTTACTTCTTGGTAGTCATTGACCGCACTTGGGCCGATATAGCCACATTCTCCATAAAAATCTCTTTCAATATGATAGAAAAATCCTCTGCTATCAATAACGTATTTGTCAAGATTAGCCAAGATATAATTTTTGTTTTGCTCGAGTGTCATAGTTGTTAAGTTGTTATTGCGATTTTTCTCTAATTCTTTTACTATTGCAATTTTACAAAGGAGTGTCTTTTTTTCACTCTCTAAATCATTTTTCAAAATCTTCTAAACGTGGCTCATTATACGAGTAGAAAAACAAATCTTTAAACTCTTTATCTTCCTCATAAGGCAGAAGACACCAAGTGGAAAAGAAATCACAAATCCCGTATCATCTGTTTTTTTGTTCTAATCCCTTAGCGTTTTGGAACAATAATCAGAAAACAACTGAATTATGAGTTAAGTTGTCCTCTTTTCAAATATCTTTAAATATCACCTACTATAATCAGCATGATTGTAATCATAATTTTCCGTAGCCTCCGCTTCTAATCTCTTTTTATTAACTGCCTCGAATTTGGCTGGGTCTAGCAAATTGTTTATAATCCAGCCCACAAAACTGGCTCAATCTCGGTTATTTATTGGAGGGAAAAGAGATGGATTTTTATAATATTCGTAAATTAAATTCTTAATGGATTTTTTGAAGTCAGACCGGGAATAAAAATCACTAAGAGCAATTTTAACGATATTTCTGTCATCATTACCATAGTCAATTCAAGATGATAGAGCGTTTGCTTTTAATAGTCTGTCTGAATTTTTTCCTCACTCGTTTCTATCATTATCATTTATCCACTTATCCCACCAACCTTTTTCTATGTCTAGTTCGGTTTTTAATCTATTCATCTCATTTTGTTTACCTTGCAAGTCATCATTTAATTCCTCTTTTTCTCTTTCTAAATCATCAATTCGAGAATTTTTGAGACTTAATTGTTGTAAATAACCCCTAATCATTTCCTCTTTCAATTCCAATTCCTCAATGGAACTATCCCATTTTGTTTGATAATTATCTCGTTCATCAGTTAAATCACCGTTGAGACCTTTTTCCTTTAATCATTTGTCCTTTCAAACTCTTTTCAATTTTTCTACTTCGGTTAATTTTTCCTCTAATTCGGCTAATTCACTTTGTAAATTAATAATGGTTTTTTGACTTAAATTGTCGTCTTGTTGTAATTCTTTAATTTTTGCTAATAATTTCTCTTTTTCAGCACGGAGGGCTTGGGACTTGTTGGCTAATAATCTAACTTTATTTTTTTCGTTAATGAGATTGGTAATTTTTTCTCCGGTTAATTCTGTTTGACATTCTTGGTCTCTACTAAAAGGTTTAGCAATGAAAATCTCCTCTTTTTTTTCAATAGTTATGCCACCACAAATAGGGGTTCTTTTTATCATGTCAGGAGAAACATAAACGGGATAAGGAATATTCTCACCAAGCGACAAATCAAGTTCTTTCATAATAGTATGTGGGATATCTAATTGTATCCATTCTCCCTCATAAGTAAAACAAAATCTTTCACATAAAGTTTTTGGTAAACCTTGCGTATTCCCTCAATTATTTTTTTCTGCCTTTTCTAACTCAATAAAATTACTAGGGAGGGAAATTTTGGTCCGCAGGATATCCTGGGCTTGTAAATCAGTTTGGATAATTTTTTGTTCGGCGTAGATTGGGATGTTGTTCTTGCTGATGTAGGTATGTGTCATAATGTTTTTTATTTATTATTAATGATATTAATATAGATTACTACTCTATATTATAATTTTACAGAGTTTGATTGGGAAAAACGCAGTCTTTTTATTTTTGATTCAAAAAAAACCTTTCAAATTTATTAAATGATAATTATTTTTGAGAAGCCCTTGGACAATTTTTGCGATTATTTTTTTTAATTTTTGTGCTTTTCGATAATTTGCTTAATATTTTTTGTAAAGATTGATAGTGGGTTTTTATTTTGCTAATTTCTAGTGAGTTATCAGTTATGTCTTTGACTTTTCAAAATATCGTTTGAATAGAACCGGCAATTAGACCAACTTCTACAAATTTGGTTGTTTCTCAATCGTTTCCCTGGCTGGCTACAAAAATAAAACAAAAAAGGATGCTGAGCCCCGGAATAATTAAATTAGGCAAATAAGAAAGAGTTTTTTTTTTCAAAGAAGAGCGACTTTTTTGAAAGTTATGATTAATTAATTTTTCAACTTGTTGGGGCTGGGAAGGATTTTCTAAATATTTTTTTGCGACTTGGTTTTCTTGCTGGCGAAAATTATTTTGCTGTTGGTTGATTTTCTTTTGAATTTGATAAACAAAAAAACTCAAAAAGGCCAGAATTAGCGACACGATTAGAACGAAAGAAATGGCAAAATCACTGCCTTTGAAACTGGCAACAAAAATTAGAATTAAAATAATATTGACAATTGCCGAATATATTCTCTGGGGTATAAGAATAAAAAGAGGCACAAATAATTCGGTTTCTATCCAAAAATTACTCAATATTTCTTGCTGGTGGAGGCGGGCTTTTAGTGGTTTTTTGCTGCTGCGATTAATTAGCAATTTTCGTAAGTAAGACCGACATAATTCAGGAATATAATTTTTTCAATAATCACAAATCAGACTGGCTAATAAATAACCAATAAAAAAACAAAAAAAAGCGTAAAAAAGCAAACCACTTCGTGTTCTGATAGTAATAATTTTGAAAAAGAATGGAACCGGAAATTCTGTTTGCTCATAACCCCATTTTTTCAGGCTAAAAACTGATTGATAATAAAAAAGGGAAGAAACAAAAGTAAAAAAATATCAGATAATTAATTCTGATCGGAGTTTTTTTAGTAATCAGGAGTAGAGGGAAAATCTTTTCTGAAGAGAGACGGGCATAAAATTATTTTAAGAGAAAATGGTCTGCTAGCAAAAGGTGTTTATATAAAATTATAATTTAAAGTAGCACACGCACACACAGAAAAATACGAATTTTACCGAATTATTAGAGGTAAAGACAATTATATATTATTTTACACAAAAAAAGAAGTTCATCATAAACTTTCATATTTTATCTTGTAAAAATGTAATATATGTATTGCTGAATTTTAAAAAATTCTTTTACTTCCTAAAATCTAACCTTCTTTCTTTGAATAAGTACTATGAAAATTACTGAAAGAACTCGAATGACTGAATGTTCTTTTAATAAAGGAACTAATAAATTATCTTTCACTATCAAACGTTATACTTACACTCCAAAAATAGTTAGATATGAACAAGTAAATTATGTTAGATATCCAATATATGAAGGTTATTCAGAAAGAATAAAAGTAATAAAAAAGTTCGATAAAATAATCAATCCCATAAAATTTGTGAATAAAGAAATTTTAGAATTAGGTTTAGAAAAATATTTTATCTTGTCTATTATTGAAAAGCTTTCAATAATTCCAGAATGACGAAAAAAAGAAATAAAATTAGAAAAGATTTTAAATGTAATAAATACTACAAAACGACGCATACGAAATTATCACAATGAAAAAAAACATTATTCATTTAAACTAACAGATTTTAATGAAAAACCAAGTAACTTTTAATTGCGTCTAATTCTTGCTCCTTTTACTCTTGGTTTTTCATTTATCGGCTATAATAGTAAAAAAAATGCTTTACTAAATAAAAAAATTAATAAAAATAATAGGGAGTGGAATGAAAACCATAAAATAAAAATTGATCAAGAAAATTCTCTTCTTTGAAAAGAAATAACATCGTTTAATGAAAAATTAGATAATATTATTTCGCTTAATTGAAATTTATATTGAAAAATAAAAAAAGAAGAAATAAAACCATATAAAGAAACTGATGATGGTTGAAGGGAAATAAAACATTCTTCTAACTTTGCTTTTTCTTATCTTAATGATAAAAAAGGAGTTTATATTATATGAAATAAAACCAAAGATAAACATTATGTAGGGCAGTCTAAAGACTTAGGTAGAAGATTAAATCAACATTTTTCAAATGGCGAAGTTAGAAATGTTATATTTGCGAGAGATTGATATGCTAATGATTGCTTTTATTATAAATTTTATTTTTGTCAAACAAAGGATGAATTAGATGTCTTAGAAAAACGAAAAATTGAGGAATTTAGTTCGTTTGGTAAGGGTTATAATGGCACTGGTGGAAATAAATAAGTTTAAAATTAAAATTATCTTTTAAGAAAATAAATGAAAACGTCTATTTTTCATTTTGATTAATTGAAAATTCTTCCACCCAAAAACGAAAAGGAGAAATAATTGGTGTAAAATTGTATATAATTGCTATAAATAAAAACTAGCAGCAATTCCCAAGGCAATGATTCAATTTAATTTGCTATTATTTTTTTCAGTATTAGTTAGTCGTTTTGGCTTTTGTTTTCGTAATTTGGCTAATTCTTTTTCTTTTTCTAATTACTACCAAAACAACTATTATCAACATTACTGCTAACAACGAAACAGGAACAACCACTTTTCAAGGAAATTTTTCCAGTGAATTATTTTTCTGCTGTTCATAATTATCTAATTTAGATAATAAGGACCGAACCTCACTTTTTTTGCTTTCATAGAATACATTATCAGCATTAATAAATTCTATTATTTGCATTTTAAGTTTTTCTATCCTTTCTTTTTTACCTGATTTTAAGGCTATTTCTACTTCATTTCTAAAAAAATTAACTTTTTTCTCGGCTCCTTGCCGACTAATGGATTCTTTAATTTTAATTTCTTTTTCCACTATCTCTTCACCTTGAATTTCTCCATTTTTTAATTTTTCTCAATCTCTTTTTGTCTCATCATCTAACTCGTCTTCTTTAATATCATTTTTTGCCATTGTCTCCTTAATTCCTGGAATAGCAACATTCCGACGATATTTGTCAGGGTCTTCCAAAACAGACCGTTTTTTTTGAGTTTGAACTTCCTCTTTCTTTTCTTCGTAGGCTTTGGTATCGGATGCTTCATCATTTTCTTTTATTTTCTCATTTAACTCCTCGCCAGTTTTATTTTTCATATCATTTACATCCTCATTTACTTTTTGACTAGTCTGTTTTTCTCTTCGTTTACTTCCAATAGCCGACAACATTTTTCTTACCAAATCATTAATAATTTCCTCCCTATTCAAATTATTTATTTTTTCATTTCAGCCTTGAAATTCAGAACTTAACTCGCTTTCCTTTACGGCAGGTTCTAGGTTTAGAGCAACAGTGATGGTTTGAATAGCATTTTTTTTAGTCTGAGCAAGCCCATCTTCACTAGGAGGAGAACCGTCACTTGGAGAGCCTTTTTTTTGAGGATAAATTTCTTCAAGTTTGTTTTTAAGAAATTTATATTTAATGAATTTCCGTTGGCTGTCTATGTGGTCTTCATTTACAAGCCCACTTTTTATTAACGACAAGAAAAGCATCTTTTTTTCATCTTTACTGCTGCCAGGAATGTATTGGTTAACTAATGTTCACAAATCTTGGTCTTCGTCTGCCAACTTTGCTTCGAAATAATCATAAACGCTAATAGGTTTAGGGGGGTGTTTTGTTCTGGCATTTGCCATGAATTCCCAGTTGTTTCCGGTTGTGGTGTATATCCGGTCTCTCCCGTTCTCGTTGCGTTTGTTCCTGCGGTTGGCTCTTCTGGAGGTGGTGTTGTTTCTTCTGCCTCGGTGAATGTTTCCCCTACTTTGCCAAATTCTATTATTCTCAAACCTTTGGAGTTCATTCAGGCTTTTTCCCAATCAACTCCTTCAACCAAGCAATACGTTTTGTTATTAAACTCTTGGTATTTTTTATCTCTTTCTTCACGATTTGGAAATGAAATTATAATTTCATTAATAGTAGAAAAACCCACTCTTCTCCTACTGTTTCTATTACTATTCCTCCTTCAAAAGTAAGATAATTATCAAGAGAAGAAGGATATTTACATGAATTATAAGAAAAAAGTATGTCTTTCTTTTCTTTTAGTTCACCAATAACAACCTCATCTCCGAATGAAAGGGCATTATAAACTTTTCCGGACTGAGTTCATTCTTCGACTTCTATTTGTTCTTCCGGAATAGAAAAAATATAAATGCATGAATCACGTAAATTTTTGATATCTTTCTCCTTATTTTTTCCAATTTTTATATATTTAAAAGTTTTAAGTTCATTCTTCTTATATAAAAATTCACTAGCAAGTGGGTAAGCATTTTGGTTTTTTTGAGCATCTTTTTCGGGATGTCTCCACATGTGGCTCTGAACAATAAAATATTTTTTTGACATAATTAGTTCGAAAGTTTTTTCAATTCCTCATTAATATTAACCATGGCTAATCGGTAAATTTCCTCTTTAAATTTTTTTATTTTATTGGCTTTATCAATAATCGTATTAGCCGCACTTTCTTGGTTTTCTAATTGTTTTTGTAAATCAATTATATATTTAGGCAATTTATTGCTGGCCCACTCCTCAATTTTTTTCAATTTTTGTTCTTGGTCGGTTGAATTATCATTTCTTGTGAGGCTATATTCGGTAATTAATAATTCCCGGATGGCCTTTATTACCGAGAATAGATTAACATTGTCGCCGCTGATGTAAATTTTTTTGTGGGGGTCGATAGTTTTGGCTGACCGAATGATTTTGTCCCCCTCACAGGTAGCAACAATGAAACCATAATCGGCCTGATGAGATACCATGTCTCTCTCCAATTTGTCAACTCAACTATTGTCCCATTTTTCAGCGTTTTTGGTTTCGTAAACAATTCGACCAACTACCTCTTTTGGCTCGCTGGCAGTTAAGACCTCTTGAAGAAAATCGGCTCTTTTGCCAGCACCAATCTGCCCTTTGCTTATGTCGGTAATTCTATCCTGGCCGTCAAAAACTTTCAGTAATTCCTCATAGAACCATTTTTCTAGGTCTTGCCCTTTGCCCTGTCCTTTTTGTCTTAATACTAAATTCTGAATTTGCTCTTTTTTCTCAGTCAACTGTTTTTGTAATTCTTGGTTTTGATTTTGTAAACTTTCAATAGTTTTTCAGTGCTTTTCCGTAATTTCTTTTTTTTCTTCCTCCAACTTCTTAACCCGAATGGAATTTTCTATATGGGCGGGAGATTGAAGATAGATTATTTCTTTTTGGTTGCTTTCAATGGTCTCTCTTAATTTTTTGACTTCTGGAAAATTTTCATAAATTTTTTGCTGTTCTAACTCCTTAACTATTATTGCCCGATATCTGTTTCATTGGGGAATAATTTGCTCCTCTAAAACTTTTCTCACTATTCCATTAATAAAATGGAAGGCCTGTTGTTCTTTGCCGAAATTTTTTTCTTCTATATGTTTTTGACAATGAGGGCAGGGAAAAGTGAACCGACTTAATTTTTCTTCGATTGCTCTCCTAATTTCCTCTTGGAGAATTTCATTAGTTTTTTGTTGTAGTTCTTGCATAATTGCGTATTACATTAAATTTTTATATGCGGCATAGTTATTTCTTTTCGCGAGTTCAAAATTCAGCCTTGTCGGCTACTTCGCCGGCCAACTCCAATTCTAAATGTTGTTGAATTACCTTAATATCAGCCATGACTTTCTTATATTCTTCCAGGACCTTTTTTCTTTCACTACCACCAAAAACTTCCCAATCGATAATTGACTGTAAAAGTTTCGACAGCGCTTTATCCCTTTCTTTTTCCAATTTATTTTTTTCCCTTAATAAGTTATAAAAATTTTTACTCATGTTAATTTAATTTTCACGTTTTTTCATCATTAAATTAATTTTTATACAAAAATAAAGACTCCGTGGTCGGGATTTTTACAAATTATCTATTATTTTTATCAGATTTTTCTGGATTTCACCAGCCAGAATTTCTTCTTTTTTTTGGACTGTTAATTGAATGACCGAGGAGGGCGAAAGTTTGTTTGTAGTAAGAAATTTCTTGATTACTAACTCCGTATTTTTTAAGTAATACTCAATAATATAATCGCTATACTTTTTGGTAGCAACTAAAGAGAGTTGGTATTCACTATCTCGTGGACAAACGAACTTCTCATTTTCTTTTACTACCTCTTTTTGGTTATATATTTTCTCACAAATGGGACAAATTAGATATTCTTCTTTCAAACTCAATATTAACTCGTAATTGGTAATGCTTAACAGAATGATATTATTTATTTTCTTTCCGGCTTGGACTAATTCGGCACTTAACGAGGCCAATTGTTGCTCGTTATGGGGATAATTAACCAACACTAATTTCAAGTGAGGATTATCCTTAATAAATTCTTTGACCTCAAGAGTATAATCACTGGCGACTAATTTAAAAATTTCTTCTTCTAACAACGAAGTAGCGTTTTTTGCTTTTAATGCTTTCTTTCTAATCTTCCCCATCTCAAAAAAACGCCCCTCCTCCTCCACCAAAAAATTAAATTTATTGATAATGGGTGGGAAAAGCAGAAGAATGATTTTGGGTGAATGACTTTTTATTTCCATATAAATTTTAGCGTTATTTATTAGTTTTTATATACTTATATTTAGTTCTTATTTGACGAACCAGGTCTACCCCGATATTAACACTACCAAATCAATTGAAAAAATTTAGGAGAGAACCCCTAAATATGTTGTCAAAAATGATATTGAAAATTAAAATAATAAAATACCAAAAAAATATTATTTTATTGATTATTTTTCGCAATAAATTACGGGTCGTGTGGCCCGGAGCCAAATAATTTATATAAATTCCTTTGTTTCTTAATTCCTTACTCATTTCCTTGGTCTTTCAAACACCAACCTTTCGCATTTGTATTCATACGGCTAAATAGCGGAGCAAGAGCAAGAAAAATAACGCCCCCACTATTCACCATTTTTTTTCTCAAAATCAATCTTTCAGATTCTCGATATCAAACAGGTGGCGAGCGTCACTAAGCAAGAAAAAAGGGCCCCAAAATTTTCCGCCGGCTGGGGGATTATCCAGGCTTGCTCCTAAATTATTCATACTTGCTGCTCTTGTTGAACCTGTTTCCTTTCATTTGTTCTGTATATTACTAAGATTGCCCCAATTCACTCCGGCTCGCCGCATTAAGATAATGTTATATATAATACTAATAAATTGGGACAATTGAATAAAGGGCATAAAACTAAGACTCAAGCGAAATCCCAGTTTTGATTTGCGTTTTTTTAGTATTTGGCTATGTTGACTATAAAGGGTGTTGGTTTCTACCGGCGCCTCTCATTTCAAATTAGTTATTCAAATGAAGAAGATAGTAATCAATATCAGGCAAAACATTGGCTTTAGTTGATTCCAATTGTTCTTGATTCATTCGTAGGGTAAAAATTCTGTGAAAAGTATCAAATAAAAAGCATTGCAAACTCCATATTGGTTCATTAACTGAATAAGCAATTCCAGCAGACAACAATTAATTACAGTGATAATTAAACATAAAAGTAAAATATGGCCCCAACTGCTTTTGACATTTTCTCAGTATTTTAGGAAGCCTAAACCTAATGAAAAGATAAAAACGAGAGCACGAGTGATTCAAAGTTTTCACCGCCGCAGTTTGACTTGGTCCATCTTGTCCGGGTTAAGAAGCATGAAAAACATGCCTAAAACAAAATTGACATTCAAATGGACGCCAATGCCGGAAAAAAATAGAAAACTTTTGATGGTTGCTTTATTATCCCATTTTGGCATTCATTGACCGGGAAAAGAAATTTTTCTGGCTCCTAGAATGTAAACTGCCAATCCCAGCAGACTGGCCAAACAAGCCCCAAAGAAAGCCTGGTATTGACGACTAACTCTTTTTTTTTTGACATTACTAGCCATATTACTTTTTCTTTGCCTTTATTTTAAAATTGCCTCCCGCTTGGGTGATTTTTTCCTGAGCCTGGCGAGAGAAAGCGGTGGCTTGAATAGTTAAATTTTTGGTGAAATTTCCGGTCCCTAATATTTTGACAGGAAATTTTTCCTGCGTGAAGTCGACCGTCTGACCATTGGTTATTTTCTCGTCCGCCTCTAATTGGGCTAAATTGATTACCTGATAAGAAATTCGGTCGGGCCTAAATCCGCCACCTCGCTTGGGAAAACGTCGTGCCACTTCGGTTTGTCCTCCTTCAAATCCCGGACGAACATGACCACTTTTGCGGGATTTTTGGCCTTTTTGTCCTCGGCCCGCAGTCTTGTCTCCCCGACCAACCGTTTTGCTTTTTTTGACAATAGTAGTTAAATAATTGCTAATACTCATATTTTTTTCCTGTAAGTTCGTCAAAGGCCAAAAATGCTGCTCGCATAACATTCAATTTATTACGCGAACCAATTATTTTTATGCTGACATCTTTAATTTCTAAATATTTACATAACGTAGCCAGCATTTCACTGGCTTTAATGCCGCTGCCAGGCGGAGTAGGTTTTAAAATTAATTTAGTTGCGTTATAGTGAACTGTTATATCACGAGGGATAGTGCGGGGTGCTGTAGAAAAATAATTAAGTAATTTTTTTTGGGCTTTGCGAAAGGCTTTAGCGGAGGCTTTCATAGGCTCTTTGCCACCCATATGAGCGTAAGCGACACCTTTTTTTTCCTCATCCTTGATTAAAGCCAAAGAGGTGAAACTGAAACGGCGACCTCCCTTAGTCACTTTCACCGGTCGTCAAGTTTTTAAAATGGTTTTTTGGAGATGGGAGCGAAAATATTCTTTTTTTGCTCTTTCTCTGCCTCTGGTCTCCGAAAACATTCCATTTTTCCGATTCATCAGCAAACCAGAACCATTTTCGCCCTTAGTAGATTCTGGTCTATTGGTTATTTCTGGGGTTGGTTTTTCCTTAATTTCTTCCGCATCGACTAATTGGCCTTCGGCTAGTTCGATAACTTTTTCCTTTTCTAAATTATTACTTTTCTCTATTTCCATTTAAATTAAAAATTGATTCCTGATTCCCGTAGGGCCTGGCAAAATACTTCTATTTTACTAGGCAAACTTTGGGCGGTTTTTCTTTTGCCCCGGTAAGGGCGACCATTGCGGTCAAAAATGACTGCTTTTTGACCGGCTTTTTTCAATTTTTCAGCAAAAAATTCGCCCAATTTTTTAGCACAATCCTTATTTTTGCGAGAAAAATTATTATTTTCTTCCACGAAATCCTGAGTGGAAGAGGCAAGGAGAGTGTGACCGGCCACATCGTCGATGGCTTGGACCCGCAAGTAGCGATTTGATTCACTTAACACTACCCGAAGCCTCGCCAAGGAGCCTTTAATTAAAGCGCTTCTCCTCTTGCGAATCTTACGACGCATTTTTTTCTCGTTGTCTGTTGACATATATACTATTTATTTTAATGTTATTTTTTTTATCATCTGTGTCTATTGAAATGAATAATCTTTGATTATTTCATTCTTAAATGAATAATTTACTTACTTGATGCTTTTCTGGCTTTTAATTTAATAGTTTCTGCTTCCCCTAGGTAATAAATACCTTTGTTTTTTTTGTAGACACTAGGAAGACGGAGATTTCTAATGGCTGCGGCTAGACTCGTAACTTTTTGCTTGCTTTTGCCTTTAATTACTACTTTATTACCTTCTAATTTTACCGCCAATTCTGGTGGAATATCCATGTAATTAAGATGCGACTTTCCCACAGAAAATTCTAACTTTTCCCCTTGTAATAATACTTTATATCCAACCCCTTTTACTTCCACAACTTTTTCGTGTCCTTCTACTACTCCTTTTATCATGTTAGAGATTAAAGCGTTATAAGTGCCAGCCAGAGCCGAATTGTCAGACTTGGTGGTTAACTCGTTTTTTTGTTGAATGATTTCCAGACTGGAAGGAACAATTAATTCCTCGCCTTGACCTAACGGTCCTTCGGCTGAAATGGTTCCTTTTCCGAAATTAATTTTTACTTTTTCGGGTATTGAAATAATTCGTTTAGCGATTTTGGACATGATACTATCTAGAATATTCGTTTAGGAGAAAAGCGTTATTCTTTTTCTCTTTGTTTTTTCTCCAAGCAGAAGCGGCAAATTTTTCCATCCCGCACAGTTTCTCCCCCCAATAATTCTTCCCGGTATTTGATATGACATATTCCACATCAAAACTCTCTCTCTCTCTCTCTCTGACTTCTTATCAGCCGGGAGAAAAGCCACAATTAAGGCCCCAATGAGACCTAGAAAAAGCACCAGAACCAATCCCAATGCTCCTTTCTTGCGGTAGGCTCAAATACAAAGCCAAATGCTAAGGGCAATAAGCGCTATAACAACTATTAAGCCTATCGCTAAAATTGAACCCATATTATTTCCTAAAAAATCAGTCATTTTCTTATATTATATATATTATATTAAACTATTTTAAAATCAATTGGTCAGCAATCATTTTTTTTAAACAAAAATATTATCATCTGTATATAAAGCTGTTACTCTTCGGTAAACTCTGCCGTTTTGTTCATTTTCTTCGTATTCAATTTCAATATTAATAGGAGTCGGACTTTTACTTAAAATATCCCAACCCTCTTTTACCATTCTTTCAAAACAAAAATAAGCCTCATCTCTATTGTCATTATTTACAATCAGATAATAAGGATTAAGATTTTTATCTTCCAATTTTTTAATCTCAAAATTATTTAATTTAGTAGTAGCCATTGTCATTCTATATATTATTTATTTTACTATTATTCTTATATTAGCAATTATTTTATTACTTAATTTTACTTTTATTATATTTTCCCCCAATTTATTAAGGGGATGAAAGTCTAATAATTGCTTCTTTTGACCGGAAAAACCAACCTTTTCTAAGGAAGTTAAAATTTCCTTGAATCCCACTGAACCAAACGGTTCGCCTTTTTCATCTTTTTTCAAAATAAAGTCAAAAGAAAGATTATTAATCTTATCATAAATTTTTTGGGCTTCAACTTCTAATAATGCCTCAGTTTGGGTTTGTTGGACTTTTTTTTGTTCTAGCCAGGCAAGATTTTTTTCATTCGCCAGGCGAATTTCTTTGCGAGGCAATAGATAATTCACCACAAAGCCCCGCCTCAACTCCTTCACCTCGTGTTTCTGCCCTCACTTATTTTTTTGCAAAAAAATAACTTTTTCTCGTTTTTTCATACTTTTATAATTTATTTGGTCGTTTTCTTAATTTGTATCGGTCAACTGGGGGCTGAAAAATTGAACCTAAAAGGCTTACTAGAAAAATACCTACAAGTGGAACGAGGATGGAAAGGAGAGGGATTTGCCAACTACCCAGGGAAAAAACTTTGGTGCGGTGCCAAGGAACTTCTTGCTTAGTGTCTGACTGGGTGCTTTCTAAACCCGGAAACATCATAATACTGATAATTGTTGCCACAATAATAAATAAAATTCCGCCTAACCATCATTTTATTCAGAAACTTTTATTGGCGGCAACTTCGGCTTGTCACTGGTCATAGCACCAGGCACATTGAGCCCAATTTTCCGAGGCATATGTGCCACTATGGTGTCCGGCATGACCTCCGACTTCGTAGCCACCATAACTTCCAAAAACTTTTCCGGCATAAGCACCTTTCGTATAGACAGAACTTTGCCCTTTGGAACTAGTGTAAATTGGCTCGCCTTCGTAAATTGGAGTGCGACAAGTATGACAACCATTAATTATTCTTCTTTCTGGATTGTTTGGCATATATTAGATTATTTTTTTAATTCTTCGCTCTGATCGACTATTTCATTAGGTATCAGAGCCATTTGCCGCAACCTTTTGATAATTTTGGCAACTCGTCGGTGATTTTTAGGGGTCAATTGGCTATATTTGCGGGGAACAATCCGCCCTTGCCGATTGATAAACTTGCGAGCAGTAGCAATATCTTTTCAATCAAAATATTCAATACCTTCTTGACAAAAATAGTCCGTTTTTGGACCGATTTTTTTTTTGTAACTCTTAACTTTTTTTTCAGGATTTCCTTTTGTCATTTTCTTTATTCTACTGGTTCGTCTGCCGCGGCCTTAGGCTTAGGTTTACTAAAATCGATTTTTCTGATGCTTTTGACAACTCGGGTCAAATTATCAAGAGGTCGGAAAATATCCGTTGAATCACTGTCAAGGAGAGTAAACCCGTAAGCGATAATTGAGGAAATGCGAGTGATTTTTTTTTCTCCTTCTTCTTCCTCCACTATTTTTTGGGTTTGTAAAAATCCTTCTAAAAGAATAACATCACCTTTTTGTAATTTTTCATTAAATTCGTCTACCAATTCTTTCTCATTGATTCGACAAAAGAAAAGTGGTGATCTAACTCCTTCACGGGGAACTGCCAATTTAAAGGATAATACTTCCGGTTTTTGTCTGTATTCTGCAACAAATTGCCACTCACTAACTATTTTGCCAAGTAGCCGCACTTGATTAGAATTTTCCAAACTAATTTTTTCAAAACTTATATCGAGTTTATCAAATTCCACTACTCTAACTAATATTTGACGGCTATCTTTTTCATTTCTCAAATAGCCCCGGACTTCAATTACTTCTTGCTCTTGAACCTCTTTATTAATCCTTGCGGCTATTTCTCCCTGGCTGATACAACGCAAAACTGTCAATGAACCACTGGGAACCGGAACAAATAAATTAAAATGAAAGAAAGGTTCTTGCCTTTTTTCTGGGGGCTTAGATTCTGGCTTGGCTTCTGTTGGTGATTCATCTGTCTCAGGCATCGTCTCGGAAACTTCGGCCATATCATCTTTTTTTTTTTCGTTTAATTCCTTATCTTTATTTACGATCTTACCAATTATTTTAATTTTGTTCAGCATCTTTATCTTTTTTTATTATTAATTTAATTTTATTATTAATTTAATTTTATTCTTTTTTTCATCTTCCAAATTTACTAAGAGATAACGATTAAGAAAATCTTTGGGGGCAGTTTGTAAAACATTTTTTTCCAATTCTTTTGCTTGCGGACGGGCTGAATTAAAATAAATGAGAACATATTTGCCAGTTTTTAATGTATTAATTTTATAGGCTGGTTTTCAATCCTTTTCTTCCACCTTAGCAATATTTTCTTTACCCAAAATCTCTTGTATATTCTTAATCATTTTTTCGTATTTTTCCTTATTCTTCTCCTTTTCGTTGAGAAGACAAAGCAGTTCATAGCGGCAATTTACTTTCTTTTTCGTCATGTAATAATATAGTTTTAATTTTATAATTTTGGAAGATGAGGTTGGAAAAATAGACACGAATATTTTCATTTGCAATGAAAGAAAAATAGATAGAATATTTTAAGAATTTGGTGGAAAGGAAACTTGTATCCAAGCCACTTGTTCGGTCGGATTTGACTGGCTAATGAAGTGGCTAATTTTTTGGCTTTTTTCCCAAGTTAGTTGATTTCTTTCTTGGCGGAATTGGATTTCCCTCAAACATCCATTTAAATAATTTTCTGGCGAATCTTTTTTTACTTCTGCGAAAGCCTTGATTAAATCGGTTCCAATATTTTCTAATCGCGGTTCAAAAAGGATAAAAATATCAACCATCACTTTATAACTTAACTGAAATCCTAAATCAACAAACTCCTTGATTCTTTGGCTGACCGCTTCGACACTAGGTCGGACTCAGGTTTGGGTTGGGGTCGGTGGGTAAAGAATAAGTAGGGCTCCTTGGATTACTAAATCATTCATATCCTCGCAAATCTCGGAATAGCCAATTTTCTTTCATAAATTAACCAATTCTTTGTCAATTAAAATTGCCCGGGCAATAACATTCAATTGGCGATTATTTTCGTAGCCATCTTGGGCCGGATAATCGTCGGTGGGTAATTGTTCGGATTGGGGTCGGGGAGGAAAAGGAGTAAATTTCTTTTCTAATATTAAATCTTTAATTTTTCCCTTATTTCTTTCTAAAACGGCCGAGGCCAGATCAATTTGTTGTGGACCACCTGAAAGAAAATGAAAAAATTCCATATCATTACCCTTTTCATAAAAATCTGGGCTGAATTTTTCGTAGCCTTCGGTTAGTAAAAAAACATAAACCGGAAATGGCAAATCGCTACCCCACAGCACTTGGCCTTTATGCTGCAAATCTCTTATTCGGCTTATATCGGCTGAGCCAGTATTGTGGCTAATCTTTAGTTCAATAAGTCGGGGGTCATATTTTCCATAGTGCATTAGAAGTCGTTGCAGAAAATAGCGAGAAAGGACGCCTTTCTCGGCCATAATTGCTCGGACAACCCCGACATTTAGGAAACTTGGTCCCAACCTTACGGCGTGAAAAAGAGCGTGGGTTTTACCAAACCAACAAATAATTCATTTGGCCCGGGTTGACTGGTCCTTGGCAATAACCGACCAATCCTTATTACTTAACGATAAATTACGGGGAAATTCCACATATTTAAAGATATTTATTTTAATTTCGCTTGGTAAATTGTTAAAATAATTATTTTTTGCCATAATGATATTATTATGTTTTTATACTTACTTATATAGGCTTTCTTATATAGTAATTTTATAAAATTCCAATCTCCCAAACGCAATTTTTAAAAATAACAAGGAGGAATTATTGCTTTTTTTTATAAAGAAAGAAATAAAAAGTATTAAGATGCCGACGAATATTATCTTTTAATTCAATTTTCGGAGATCTGGTTTTTAACTCGGCAATTATTTTTTGACATTTTTCCTGGGCCAAGTCGGGTCGGATTTTCTGTTTTCCAACCATGACAACACTAATTTTGGCTAATCAACCCTTTTCAGTTCATTTGCTAACTCTTTCCAATTTATCTTTTAAATCTTTTTCGCCAATATTGAGAGAAATCCGGACTTCTTTACAAACATTTTCCTTTTTGTCTTTCTTTTTTTTACTTAATTCAAAGATGTATTTTTGATAATTAATTAATTTACAAACCGGAGGATTTTTGTCTGGGGCCACGCAAAAAAGGTCCAGACCCAAATTTTTGGCTCTTTGCAAGGCTTCTTGTCGGTCAATAATTTCTTTCTCCTCTTTGTCGATAACCAAGAGAACTTGGGAAAAGGGAATATTTTCGTTGAGGAATTGAGTGCTGGCTATTTTTTTATCTTTTAGGGTCATTCTTTTTAAGGCGTTTTTTTACTATCAGTAGTCCAATTGACAGAATTATTAAACCCACCAGGCTAATAATGATAATTAAGTCATGGTGATGGTCCGAATTATTTGGAGATTGCTCGTGGCTTTTAGAAGTGGAAAAATTGCCGATTTCTTTCTCAATTTCGGTTCATTCGGTAGTTGTAAAGTTATCCTTTTCATAATTTACCGGTTGGTCTCCTTTTTTGGATTTAAGGCTTTGGTCCGTAATTTCTCATTCCTGTTTATTGTCTCGTAATTTTTTTAAAAAGCGGTTAAAAATGGCTTGTCTTACTTCTTGATAAGTTTCAGGAGTTAAGTTTACATTGTCGTATTCAGAATAATAAGGATGCCTATCATCTCCTCCTGTCCACATATTATTAGTTGCTGACTTTCAATGGCCGGTTTTGGAATTGTAAATGTATTCACCCCGGATTTCTCAATCCTCAATATTGGCTAATATTTTGGCTTTATCTTGGTGAGGTTTTTCTCGTCCTTTTTTTTCCCTGATTTTTCGTCCTTTTTCTACTTTTTCAAAAAGTTTATTCAAAGATATACCAGCATTTTTGAGGGCTTGGAGGGCTTTGTGTTCGCTCGTGCCAGGTTTTTCTATTTTAGACATGAACTCATTGTCCCAGGTAACAAAATTTTCGTCAGGAAAAGTATCGGAGCAGGCTTGGCGGTTTTTCTGAATGAACCAAAGGGCCCTTTCTCAATCTCCACAATGCTCCAAAATTGGGTCATTAAGAGCATTTTTTTCGGCACTAGTTAAAGGTATTTGTTGCTCATTTCATAACTCATCCTCAGGGGTTAGAAAAGCATAACGCAATTTGGGCGGATTATTCTCGGCAATGAACTTTTGCCGATGCTTTTCGTTCTCCTCCCTTATTTTCCTGGCCATTTCTTCGGAGTGCTCGGGCAGCACTTTAAATTTTTGCTCGGTAATATCTCCAAAATCTTGTCCGTTGTTGAATCTGCGAAAATCCGCTTTTAATTTTTCCGAGAGAATGATATATTTTTTAAATCCATTTCCCCTGTCCTCAACGCAATAATCTACCCCCTCCTGATATTTTTTTTGGTTCTCTGAACTCAATGGGAAGCCGATATTTATTGGATTATTTTTGTCCTCGCAATTCATATTTTACTTTTTTATCTTGCTACTTATTTTTAATTTTTAGAGCAATTTCCGCCCTATAATAATTTTATACAATTTTATTTTGGCTCTGACTTGCTTTTTTTCTTATTTTTGTTCTCTTTTTTGGTTTCCAATTTTTTTTCTACCTCAACTAATTTCGGATTTTCCTCTGCTCCGAAAGATTGTTTAAATTCTTTTTTAATCATTTCCAAAGATTCCAACTTTTTTTGGTCGCTGGCGGTTTTGTTTTCTTTATTTTTTAATTTCTTCCTCTAACTTGGTTAAACGTTGAAAAATATCAATTTTGCCTTTAATATCTTTTTGCTTACTCTCGATTTTTAATTGGTCGTAGGTTATTTCCTTAGTGATTTTATTTTGGAGTTTTATTTTTTCGGTTTCGGCTTGGACTTTCTTTTTATAAAGAAAATAACTAAATAAACCTGCAATCAAAGATGGCACAGAAATGGCTATAACTATTAAAATTCAACTGCTTATTTCTGACATATACCTATATTTTAATTTTCAGAAAAGGAGTATAGGAACACTGAAATGAGCATGATAGAATATTTGACATCAAAGGCAATTTATTCATTTTTTCTTACCTTTTCAGTGTTCTTGTCGTAAATGAACGCCATAACTGTATCCGCTTGCCATTAATAAAAATTAATAAATTATTGTTAAGTTAGAACCCTAAAAATATAAAAAAATAGTATGTTATATGTTATTGGCAAACTATTGTCTAAGAAAAGAAAATGGTCACGGTTCTAATTCCAAAATCTTGTTTAATTAATTTCAGGTGAATATATTTTTTGGCCTGTCAAAATTGGGGGTTTTTTTCCGGTCATTCAACAATATTTAAATTATCAATAGTCAACTCTTGAAAAATGTCTAAATTATCATTGACGCTTAAACGAAAAAAATCAAAATGATTTAGATAATAATCATTTTTTATCTGATATCTTTGGAGAATATTAAAAGTTGGAGAAGTTACTTTTTCTCTAATTCCCAAATTTTTGGCGATTAATTGAGTCAGAGTAGTTTTTCCAACTCCTAATTCGCCTTGTAAAATTAAAAATACGTTAGGTTTTAGGAGAGGAATTAGAAATTGGCTAAATTTTTCCAACTCCACTAAATTTTTAATTTTTTGCGTCCGTGTCACTAAATTATTAGTACCCTGTGCAAAATGAATGTCCGTTTTCTTCACCAAGGTTATATAAGAGATTTTTAATGTGCGAAATGGATGCCATTTAAGTCCTCCTTGAATAAAGGAATGCTCCTAATAATGCAAGGAAGAGCAAAACAATGAAAAAGAATTACAAGAGGCTAAAAATAAACTAGATGCCGAGAAAAAGAAAGCCGAAGAAGAATTAAACCGCTTAAAAGAAGAAGAAGCCCAGAAAATTGCTGATAAAGCCCGAGAAACCAAAAGGAAAGTCGAATTCAAAAAAGGCCAAGTTCACGAAAAAGCCTGAAAGGAATTGTTAAATTATTCCCTTGGTCGGGATGAAATGGACCAAGGAGTGCGGGTAGATGGCAATAAGATTAATTATGTCTTTCAAAATTCCCGTAGTCGCGGGGGTTATGTCAACATGCCAACTTTGGAAGAAGTCTGAAATAAACATCCAACCGCCAAGATTAAATTAGTCGGGGTGGAAAATTTGAAACATAAATTACATGGTGATAGAGCCATGACTTATGATGATATCAAATATGTAGCCCGATTAGCCAATCGTTTTGAGGGACAATTTTTTGGTAAAGAGGAATGACAAGAAAAAATTAATAGTTTAAACGAAAATTTCTTTACTGATGATGAAATTGACTAAAAAAACTGGTCTCTAAATTTCTCCTTCAACTAATTTTGGTTCTTTTCAAATAAACTTGCCAATTATCCAGTAAGATAATCAGGCGAAAATTATTCAGAATACCGATACGGTTAAGAATCAAACACCAACTAGTATTCCGGCATAACTTTTTACAGAACTTTCCAAAGAAGGTTTAATAGTTAGTATCCCTAAATCATGAGTATTGGCTTTGATTTCTTCTTCGTGTTTTTTAGAAAGTCAATTCATCGGTTTACTTAGCACGGAACTTTTTAACTTGTTGTCTACTTCTTCAATTTTCGGGATATATTCTACTATTTTTTCTTTGCTAGCAAAAGAGGTTTTTATAAGCATTCAGGCACTTCCTACTCCGACTTGTAAAATTCCTTAGGTTAGTAGGAGGGCCAGGGGTAAGCCGATTAAATTGGCTAATAAGGCTATCCAAGTTTTTCGGTGGCTTTTGGCTTTTTTTCAGTTTTCGTATTTTTGTAAGGTTTGGAGGTCGGTCATATTTTTATTTCTCTTCTCATTTTTTATTGTTATAAAAGTCTTCTAAATTTTTCTGAGTTTTGGAAATTTTGTTTTTAGTGTCATCAGCAAGCGTTCTTTTTCAGCGAGCCACAATGTCCTTTTTCATAAATTCTGATTCATTCTCAAAGTTAATTATATCCCTAGCAAAATTAGCGAGATAGATTTTTGCAGTTTCTATTTCGTGAAATAATCCGCTATTTTCAATTTTGGTAATTTCTAATTCAACTTTGGCTATTTGTTTTTTGGTTGCTATGGAGGTAAGATTATCGGTGCCATCAGGGTTTAATTCTCTTTTTCTTTTTTCTTCCAACTGGCTTTTTAAATCTTCTTTGGTTTTCTTGACTTCTTCAATAGATTTGATTAATTTTTCACAAGGCTTCAATAATTCTTTAATCTCTTGAGCCTTTTGTTGAAATTCTTTAATAACTGGATTATTGGATGGATGAGGATTTGGGTCCTCCTCAGGGTCATCACCAGGCTCCGGACCTTTACCCTTAAAAACAAATTCATTCAAAGCAATTTCTCATCCTTCATTTTCAGAATGATTACCAGTATGTTGCAATTTATAATTTTTATGATTAGTAATTCCCAATTGCTTCCCTAATTCGTCATGAATAGCCTCCGCGTAAACCAGCCCTTGAAAAATCTTGCTTAAATAATTATCCAATAAAGCATTTAAATCCTTGATATTATTCAGTGAAGAAAAACGCGAACATAAGGAGGATAATAGTGGATTTATTTCTTCCTTAATTCTTCATTCTAATTCTTGATAGTTGGCTTGGGCGGCAAAAGTAGGTTTAAATTTCCTTCCTTCTAGTAAAGGTTTTAAAATGGTTTCGCAGTAAGTATCAAAATCTAAGCCTTTTCAGTCAATATTTCCGTCAGTTCGGGGGATAACAGAAGCAAAAAAAGTTAATCCTTTGTAGGCTACATTTTGGCTAGTTTCTTGATTAAATTTATCTATTGGTGGAATTTCTTTAAATGGAGGAAAGCCTGTTTTACTATTTACTAATTTTATTTTTTCATCTAATTCAGATAAAGAATTGATTTCTCATCACTTATTACACTATTCAAAATAATTTCCGCTTTTGCTAAATAAATTTTTACTGATTGCTTTCTTCTTCTCTAGCAACAATTTCTTCCAACTCTTTAATTGCTTTGTCTAGTTTATTCTTTCGGATAAATTTCATTATCACAATAATTATTAAGATAGGTCAGAGGAGAATTCAAAGTCAAAACCATCCTTTTCATAATTTATCTCTTTCTCTCTTCAAATTTCAAAGTTGTTTGCGATAATAACATCGGCGATGATAATAACCACCTCCTATAAAACTGCCTTCGCCACCTCCAGTTCCTTCGTAAAGAGAAATATAAGAATAACCTCTATCTTGCTCTTTTAGTTCTTCCCCTGCTGGAATTACTTTATGACACCAATTGCACAACATGATTGTTTAGTATTACGATTGATGCCAAACCAGCAAGCGGTTTCTTAGTGCTGGGTTCTTTCTGAGACTGTGGCTTATGTCTCTCTCTCTCTCTCTTACACCATTCAAGGAATATTTTCTTTGCCATGTCATATATATTATATTTTTAACCTCTATATAGATGCTGTATTTAGATAAAATAATAATTATATACAAAAATTTATTAAAGGGGATTAATACTTGAGTGGGGCAGTTTTGTTGTAGATGGTGTTTGATGTTTGTTCATAATGGTAAAAGTTCTGCCATCATTCACTATTCTACTCTACCCCACTGAAATATAGATAAAGATATAATATACAAAATTATGAATATTATGAAAAATAAACCGAGATATTTTCAATTAAACGAAGATAAGAAAGATAACCAAGTTCCAGCCCTGGAAATAGCAAAATTTTTTCTTTCTTTGGATCCTAAGAGGGAATATTTTGTTAAAGACAAAATGATAAGAGTGGAAGGAATATCTATGCCGATGGCTGGCAATCTCCGTCTTAATAAACTACTCCAAATTACCCAGATGCTTTATGTGGCCAAAGAAGGAAAATATTTATTTCCGGAAAAAATGTGAGCCTTTGAACACGGAGGAATAGTTTATGATGTTTATCGTCGCTTTCACTTTTTAGTTAACCCTCAAACTCATACTGCTGTTAAGGGCTTAAATTCCTACTTAAAAACCTTTTTGACCAAGATTTTTAATTACTTTAAGACCTACACTGACCAACAACTGGAAGATTTTGCTCACGAGGATCCGGCTTGATTTACCATTTGAGATAAGGAAAATATCAGAGGCAACAAAGAAATGCCCCAAAATCCATCGATGATTAAATATTATCAAAATTTTGTTTTACATATAGCCGAGAAAATAGAACTTTAATAAAATTGATGAGTAAAGACAAAAAACCGCCAAAATTAAATCAAATTATTTTCATAGATCTTGATTATAAGGATAAATGAGATATCATAAAAAGAGGGAGACCTTGCGTGATAATCAAAATAGAGGAAGAAGAGTTTTTTTTTCCTTCTTCGCTTATTAACCATTACTTCCCAAAATGAAGAGGAAATTAAAGAAGATGAAAAGCAATTTATTTCCCAATATGAAATTCGTAAATTACCCGATTGTTTAAAAATTGACCCTTCTTTTGTCAGAATACACCGTCATATAAACTTAAAAATAACTAAAAGCAGACTGATTAAACTCCTTTGTGATAAGTGTCCGCAAGGATGTTTTAAATGACTCAAAGAGAAAAATCAGAATGAGTATGATTTTATCGTAAAGAAGCATGAAGATTATCGTAATGACAAACTGAATGCTACTAAATTACGACCACCTATTGAAATTGAAATTAAATAATCTCTGATTGTTTTATTCTTAAATTAAATAATTCGATAGCAATACAACATCTATATTGAGACATAAAATTATAATATAGATAAAAGTGTGGCGAAGGAAATGAGAAACTATTGTTGAATTAAGTGGTGAGTAGTGGATAATTCGATTAATTTCCTAAAAAACTTCTGTTTATTTTTCATAATATTTTTTAATTGATAACAAAGTTAATCAATTTATTGCTTATAAAAATTACTTTGTTGATCGTTTGTCCTACCAATAATTTACTTAATTGGGGGTCATTTTTGGCTAATTCTTCCACTTCTTTTTGATTGAGGTCTTTTGGGGCTGAAATTATAACTTTTTTTTGACCGTTAATTTGGATTACGATCTTTGCTTTTTGAGGAGCGGTTACCGGCAATTTTTCGGGGTGAGGCCAAGGGCTTTTGCTGATAGATTTTTCTTCAAAATAATTTCACATTTCCTCGGCAATATGGGGGGCAAGAGGGTTTAATAATTTAAGAAAATCCAAAAAACATTCAGTAGGCATGAACTTCGTCTCGGCTTGATAGCACTTGTTAATAAATTCCATGAGCGAAGAAACCACTAAATTCAATTTAATATTTTCATAACAAATGTTTACTTTTACAACCATTTCGTAATGAGCGGCTTCTATCTCCTGATTACGAATGCCAGTGAGAACGGCTTCGCGGTAGTCAACAAAAAAGTTGTGAACTCGGTCCAATCATTTTTTCATGGCCCGCACGCCGTCAGTATTAAAATTGGCGGTTTGGTCGATAGGCCCAACAAAAACCTCGTAAAGACGCAAAGCGTCGGCTCCGTATTTCTCCACCAACTCATTGGGGTTAATAACGTTGCCTCGCGATTTTGACATTTTCTCACCGTCGGCTCCTAAAATCATGCCTTGACAAATTAATTTTTGAAAAGGTTCGGGGTGAGAAACCACGCCAATTTTGTACAAAATTTTGTGTCAAAAGCGAGCATATAATAAGTGTAAATTGGCGTGTTCTTGTCCTCCAATATAAATATCTACAGGCAGTCAATTTCTTATAATTTCTTTTGCTTCTGGGCTATTCAACGGCAAATAACCGTCATTTTTTCGCAACAAAAATGCAATATAATATCAACAAGAACCTGCCCACTGGGGCATGACATTAACATCTCTTTTTCTTTTTAGTCCATTTTTTTCAACATTTACTCAATTTTCCGCTTTTTGAAGAGGCGAATAATAACGGGGATTAGGAGTAAAATCGGTTAGAGGGGGGAGAATTAAAGGCAGTTCTTCTTCCTTCAAAAGTTCTTTTTTGCCATTTTCTCAATGAATAATCGGAATTGGCTCGCCTCAATAGCGCTGACGGGAAAAAATTCAGTCTTTTAGGTGATAAAATTCTCCTTTTTGGCCCTTTTTTTCCTGTGCTAAATGCTGGTTAATAATTTCAATGGCTTTTTCTTTATTATCTAAATTATTAATTAGAGGCGAATTAATAAAATGACCTGTTAACTTTTCGTCTTGCTTATTTATGCGAAAAATTTTTTTTATTGGTAAATTGTATTTTATCGCAAAAGAATAATCAACTTGTTTATTTTGTTTTAATTCTTTTTCACTAATCAGATTGGGTATTTCTTTATACTGAAATATTTCCGGAGCAAAAGCATTAATCATTACTGCCCCAGTTCCGTATTCACCAAGCACAAAATTAGCCACTCAAATTGGTAATTTTTCCTGGGTCAAAGGATGATAACAATAATTTCCGGTAAATTCAGCCTCTACTTCTTGGCTCGTTTCATCTTTTCAAATAGCACAAAATTTATTTATCTTGGTTTGCTTATCTGGAGAAGTAATTTGAATGATAAAAGGATGATTAACCGACAAGGCAATAGCACTTACTCCATAAAGAGTTTGGGGGCTTTTGGTAAAAACAGTAATCGTCAAATTTTTATCTATTACGGGAAAATTAATAAAAGTTCCTTTTTGTAATCCAATCCAATTTTTTTGTAAACTTTTAATACTGTTGGGTCAATTTAATTGCTCTAAACCAGCCAAAAGTTCTTTCGCATAATCAGTGATTTTCAAAACTCATTGGGATATTTTTTTTTCTACAACCGGAAAATTTCCTCGTTCTGAAACCTTTTTGCCATCAATATTTTTGATTTCCTCATTCGCCAGGACAGTCCCTAATTTTTCGCACCAATAAACGGGTATTTCTTTATATTCGGCTAATTCTTGCCGGTATATTTGGCAAAAAATCCATTGCGTCCAGTGATAATAGTCGGGTTCGCTAGTGTTTATTTCTTTACTTCAATCATAAGAAAAGCCCATTCTTAATAGTTGCCTCTTAAAATTATCAATATTTTTTTGGGTGAAAGTAGCGGGGTGATTATTAGTTTGTATCGCGTACTGCTCGGCCGGTAAACCAAAAGCATCTCAACCAATCGGCATCAGAACCTCATAGCCTTTCATTCGATAAAAGCGGGCCAGGGCGTCAGTAATAGTATAATTACGGATATGTCCGACATGTAAACCGCTGCCTGATGGATAAGGGAACATAGCCAAAATGTATTTTTTTGGCTTTGATTTATCGGCTAAATTAGTGAAAAAAGTTTGATTTTTCTCTCAATAATCTTGCCATTTTTTTTCGATTTCCTGGTGTGAATAACCCATATTAAAAATTTTTATTCATTCTTAAAATATTTTATTTATTTTTCTTATCTGTGTCTATTGAAATGAATAATCTTTGATTATTTCATTCTTAAAATATTCGTGTCTATTTTTCATATCGCCGTCTATTCGAAAACGAACAGCAAAACGAGGGCTTCTTCGATATTGAGGTCGTGTTCTGAACTCAAATAATTTCTTACCAAACCATTTAATCTTTTTTCCACGGCTTTTTTTATTATTTTTAGTGGGTCCTCTTTTTGGATATCAGAAGTCAATTTCGTCGGTCATCAACTTTTTATTTTAGTTATTAATTTTGGAATATTTAACACTGAACTAATAGCCACCGGCTCAATTTTCACCTCTTTTAATTGTAATTTATTTTTTGTTGCTTCACCAGGCACTTTTATTTCCTGTTCTCCGTTGTTGAGATTATTGTTGCCCCATTCGGCAGTAAGAAGAATGATTAATAGCCCACTTTGTCCTAAATTGCTCCTTTGTTCGACTAATATTTCCTCCAAACTTATCAAGGATTTTTTAGTTTTAAGGGGGGAAATTTTATGAGTGGGAAATTCCAGGGCACAACCATTATTGAGAGTCAAAAATCGACCAGGCAAATGGGGTAGAAAATTTTTATTCTTATAACTGTTTTGGAGGTTAATTATTCCTGCTGGTTGTAATAAGTGAAGTAGCAATTTTAAGTCGTAAAAACTAACCCCGAGGCTTAAATATTCTTTTTTGCTGAAATTAATTATGTATTCGCTCTGGGTGTAAAGATAGTCAATTATGCGGGCTAATCTCATCTCACCACCGATTACGGGTGGAATACCAACTACAAATTGAAAATTGGCTTTTTGGACCAAGGAAAAACTAGCTAAGCAATCTAATAACTTTTTTTCGATATTTTCCGGATTGCCAATCAGCAAGTAGATTTTTTCTGGTCCTTTTTTGCCGTCAAAGGGAGGGCGTTCTTTGGCTAGCACTTCGCTGATTGAACTTTTGCCGAGTATTTGCTTAATGAGAGGAATAAATTCCGGACTGAGAATTTGAACCTGTTTTTTTCAACTGCGGGCCAATTCCAACAACTCGAGAATATGTAATCAATCAAAATCGTAGAAAATGAAAAAAAGAGTCTGTTCTTGGCTGGGGATTTTTTTCGCCGCAAAAAAAAGGGAATTTTTGTTTTGCCAGTGGAGACCTCAATAATTAGTAATTAAATAAGTATTTTTTCTCTTTCGTGCACAAAATTGTTGAAAATTGGACCAGAAATTAGGGGCAAATAATATTCTGTTATTCAAAAGGCTGCTAAAAATAAACCCTTCCAAAAAATAGAAACTGGATTGAAAACGGTGAACCGCTACCCCCAAATTGCCTAATAGATAGCCATTGAGGGGAACAAAAGATAATGAAAAATCACCAATTTTTAACTCCTTATCTTTTTGGGAAAAATGTCATGTTTCCACAGCAATTATTTTATTTCTTAATCGAGGGAAAAGATAAGGCAAAATTAATTTGCTCGGATGGCTGGTGTAAATGGGTATATGAGAGCCGATTTCACGACCAATATCAGCCAATAATCCAATATTTTGCCAATTAGTATTAGCAATAATAATGGCTCTAATTTTATTCCTGTTTTCTTTCAAATAATCACGACCGACTTGCTGTTCTTGGGAGCCAATTAAGGAATAATCCTTGCCGGTGGCTAAAAGAAGGATGTTTTTTTCGGACTCTAAGAGATAAAAATTTCCTTCGTTTTCTCAACGGCCACTAAAAAGTAAAAAGCGAATTGTCATGCTGGTAGTTTATGGTTTGTAATGTTTAATAGTAATTTGGTCGGAAAGTTTGACAATTTTATAAATTCTGGTTTTGTCAAAGGGAGAAGGCGCCATTGGCAAGTTATCTACCCCAGTTATTTGATAAAATTGGCAATCGGCGAAAGAAATATTGGCCGTGGCTGGATGGTCGCGTAAGATTAGTAAATCATAATCTTTTCCGTTTTCCTTGGCAGAAAGTCTTCAGGCATATCAATCACGCATGTTTGGGGTTTTTGATACCGTAACCGGTCAATAAAACAAATCCGAATGGTCGGCCATTTTTTTGTCTACTTCCTTATTTAATTCAATATTTTTGTCTCGGCCTAAATCTCTTTTTTGCGTGATTAAACTAATTATTTCCTCATAGTCGGTAGTTTCTAGTTCAGTCGGTAAAACTTTTTTTTGATTATTATTCCGCAGAATAGCACCATCACGGCCAACCTTGTAGCCCAAACCTAAAACTTCGTCAATTTCGTTAGTGGTGACCGCTCTTTTAATTGATTCCAATTCGGCCAAAATATCGCTTTTTAACCCCGAGAAGAGGGGGTTTGGCGACTGATTAGGTTTTGGGACATTAGGCTTTGGTTCATCTGTTTTTTTAGCCGGCCTCGTGGTTGATTTCCCTCTTTTTCACCAGAAAATGCCACCCACCATTAACAAAACTAAAACCACTAGGCTACTAATTATTAAAATTATTGTTCTCGGCTTAATAACTCTTTTTCTGTTTAACATGATATTTATTTCTTATTCTATTGTATAATTGAAAATATTTTTATATATTTTTCTACTTCGTTATTAGGCTTCTTTAATAGCAACTATTTGTATTTTGTATTCTTTTTGACTGGTTTTGACTTCGGATATTTCACCAACTTTTTTCTTATCGAGAGCCATTCCGAGAGGGCAAGCACGAGAGATTTGGCCTTGCTCGGGATTGGTCTCTCCGCTGGTTAACCGAATGGTTATTTCCTCACCGGTTTCTAATAAACGGTAAGTAACAATTTTATCTTCCTCTTGGCTGGAAGCAACTAGTCTGGATTTTAAATAATCAATTTGGCTCTGGTAAATTACCAAATTTTCATTCAACAAAATCCAGTCGCTATTTTCGGAACAATCTTTAGCCCCATAATTTTTTAATTTTTCTTTGGTGACAAAAAAATCGTTCTCTAATTTTCGTAATCTCTCTTGTAGCGAAAAATGACTTTCTGAGATTTTCTTTTTAGTTTTATCAGACAAAATATTGTATCTATTTTTCATATTTTTCTATCAATTGAAATAAATAATCTTTGATTATTTCATTCTTAAATGAATAATTACTTGTAATTACTATTTATTGGAAATAGGAGTATCGACCGGATAAGCATTTAGACTAGTAATTAATTTTTGCCCTTTGTAGAGTTGAATTTTTTTCTTTTTTTCGTCTTTAAGAAAATCAACTAAATCTTTTTTATTGTATCAACACACGGCTTCTTCGGCTAATAGATAAATCTCCGACTTGGCTTGTTTGTTAATTAAAAATACTTTTTGGAGATGAGCCGGAATAATCTTGACCGCTTTTTTGGCTTTTTGTTTAGCACATTCCGGACATTCTCGGATGGCTTTATTTATAGCCTGGAATTGCGGACACTCCACCCGGTTTTTTAAGGATTGTTTATTCAACTCTTTAAATTCCTCCTGTAATTTTTTGATGGTTTTTGAATTAGGCTTAGTGGCTTGTAATTGTTTAATTTTTTCTTGTAATTTTTGCTTTTCCTCCTTTTTCTTATCACAACACTTAGCATTCTCATGCTGAATTTTTAACTCCTCATGGCGAGGACAATTTTTCCGACAATCCGCACATTTTTTGGTTTTCTCTTCGGCATTTTTCAACTCTTTTTTCTTTTTGTCACCCTTTTCTTTCCATTCTTGTTGTTTTTGCCTGTTTTGGCTTAATTCTTCTTCGTACTTTTTAATTACCTCTGGATTAACTTGTTCTTTTTGTGCCTGCCCTAACACTTCTTTTAATTCATTTCCTCCTTTTTTTGTGGCTTTTAATTTTTCTCCAATACTTTCTCAATTTTCTCTTAACTTGCTAATCGAATTTTCGTGCTTATCACAATATTTAGAAATTTCTCGCTCTTCAACTTTGAATTTCTTTTTTCCTTTGCCTCCCCGCTTTTTGGCTAGATTGAAAACGGCAGAAAGAGTTTTTTTTATTCCACTTTTGTCTTCGCGAACCGCCAACAAATTAAATTCATTTTTTGGCAATTGTTTTTCCACAACCAATAAACTAACCATTTCATCTTTTATTTGGCCGGGTGCAGCGGGTTTTATTTTATTACAATCCGGACAATTTCTTATTTCTTTATTTATCTCTTTGCCACGCGGACAACGAAGCGAAGCACCTAATTTACTCTTATCACAACAAGAAGCGGTTTTGTGCTGTTCGAGCAGGGCTTTATGCTTAGGACAGCGAGTTTTTTGACCACTATCTTCTAATTTAATAGCCGTATCACCATAAGCGGCTCGACCAACAATACGGGTTTTTTCTTCGGCAAAACTTTTGCTTTTGCCTTGTTTGGTAAATACCATTATGTCATCATTACCAGAAGTAAAAGCGACTTGACTAATTTCATCACGATGCTTGACTATATTAATTATTTTTTTCCCCCCTTTCATTACTCTACCAATTTTTTCTAGGGGCAAACGTTTAATCTTCCCTTTCTTTGTGCCAATCACTAAATATTTTTCTTTTTTCTCGGTTGTGGTTAAAAAGTCCTCACGGACGGAAATAATTTTCTCAATAATCTCTTTTTCATCTAATTTCAACATTCGGCTTTCTCGCAAATTAATACTTTTATCACTTAATTTGTAAACTGGCAGGATATAAATTTTTCCGAAGTTAGAAAAACACCACAAATCATCACGCCGATTAGACTTAATAATGGCTAAATTTTCACCTCGGGTCTTTAATTCCTTGCCCACACTGGGAATGTTAGTAGAATCAAGAGAATTAATTTTGTAAATGTTTAAATAACTAGGTAATTTTTCTTTTGCTTCTGTTTCCGACTTGGTTTTTTTCTTTTCACCGCGGCTGAGGATGATGATAATTTCTTCGGGAGCAATAGCTTTTCTTTCATCAATCAAGTGAGAATCGGAAATGATTTGGGTGCGACGATGGTCTTTCTCGTAATCTTTTTTCAATTGTTCTAAGTCCGCAATTAATTTTTCTTTTCGCTTTTCCTCGCTAGCAACTAATTGAGCCAATTTTTCATTCTCGGTTTTTAAATCAGTTATTCCCTGGGCTAAATCGGCTTGTTTTTCCGGCGTAAATTGGCGAAAACTAATCGACATGCTTAAAATGTTTTCAATTTTAATTTTCCCTTGCTTAATTTCAGTAAATTTTTCCCTTAATTGTTCGTGGCGTTCCTCCTCGGTCGGATAACCTTTAATTATTTCGGCAATTTCTTGGTAATTATTGATAATGAAAAGACGAGTGTTTAAATTAATTAATTCTTTTTCATTTTCTTTTCAGAGAAATTGGGATTTGCGACGAATATTTTCTAGGCGGTTGCTGATAAACGCTTGTAAAATTTCCGTCAAAGAAAAAATCTTGGGGTTTTCGCCCACCAAGGCCCGCATTTTAACGGCAAAACTAATTTGTAATTGAGTATTTTTGTATAATTTATTAAGAATTATTTGTCCGTCATGTTGTTGAGCATCAAATTCCAGACGAATATCAGTAATTCCCCGGTTAGAATAATCAACAATTTTCTTTAAGCCGGCAATTTTTTTGTCTTCATCCTTAATTTTAATGAGGTCGGCAACGCGAGCAACCAGAGTTGATTTGCTGACTTTGTAAGGTAATTCGGTAATTCAAATGATATTGCGAGCCGTTTTTGCCGTCCCGGCTATTTCCCGACCCAGTTTCACTTCTTGGGGCGAGAAAATTTGTGCTTTGGCCCGCAAATAAATTGTTCCTTCGCCTTTTTCATAAATGCTTGATAACTTCTCTTTTTCCAAAACATAGCCACCAGTGGGGAAGTCGGGCCCTTTTAAATCGTGAACCAATTCTTGGTTAATTTTCTTTTTTAATTGGAGAAGATTTTCTTCAATCTTTTCTCTTTCAGCAACTAGATTGTTATACTGTATTTCAATTAATTGCTTAGCCGCAATATTTTCTGTTTCTTCCTTCTTAAAATCGGTAGCAACGATTTGCTGATTCTTACTCTGTAAATCTGCCTGTAATTTTTGAATAAAAGTTAAATCAGGATTACGAATTAGGTTGATAGTAGCGGTTAAAGTTTCCCCTAAATGATGAGGAGGAAGGTTAGCAGTCATTCCGACCGCAATGCCACTAGAACCGTTTAATAGCAAATTGGGTAGGCTAGTTGGCAAAATAACCGGTTCTTCTTTGCCTTTGCTGTCGTCGTAATTATTTTTTCAGTCCGTGGCTCCATAAGCGATATCCTCTAATAAGTGAAGCGCGTAAGGAGTTAATTTTACCTTAGTATAACGCATAGCTGCCGGGGGATTTTTATCATAACCAAAATTACCCCGTCCATAAACTAATGGATAACGAAGCTTGTCAGACCGCACCATGTTTGTCATGGCGTTGTAAATGCCCTGGTCACCGTGAGGGTGCCAATCGGACATGGTTTTACCTACAATATTAGCCGAAGTTGTTTCAGCTTTGTTAGGAGTAATTCCTAGTTGATAGAGTGCAAAAAGGATTCGACGCTGCACAGGTTTTAATCCATCATGAACATTCGGTAAAGCCCGGTCTTCGACTACGGCATACGCATAGCGAAGAAAGTTAACCAAGGCCAAGTGGCTCATATCAATCTTTTGATCTTCACTAATAATCAAAGTGGCTTCTCGGTAACTCCGTTTTTCCAAGTACTCTTTACGTTTGTCGCTCTTGGTTCCCATTAGTCCCCGGATTATTTGCTCGTCCTCGGTCCAGTTAGCAATATTTACGTTATACAAACGCCGTCTTTCAGGGTCCATTGTGCTTTCAAATAATTCCGAAGCGTCTATCTGCCCCAAACCTTTAATCCGTTCAATTTTTCGTTCTTCGCGGGGGTGGTCTTTCAAATAGGTTTCTAATTCTTGATCGCTATAAAAATAATGGATCTGCTTTCTGGCTTGGACTCGATAAAGCGGAGGTACCGCCACAAATAGTTTCCCCCCTTCAATTAAATAAGGTAAATGCTTGAAAATAAAAGTTACCAGCAAAATGACAATGTGGGCTCCATCATCGTCTGGGTCAGCCATCAAAATAATTTTCCGAAAATTGGCTTTACCTAGTAAATTTTTTAGGGTTTCACGAACAATAATGGATACTTGCTCTAAATTGAGCAGAGCATCGGCCGCAATTACTTTTTTTTTGCCTTCTTCTTCGTAAACAAAATCTTCCGGTAAAGTTAATTCTTCATCGAGTACTTTTTTTTCTAATCAGGGACGGAAGCGAACATAATTGTTTTTCAAAAGCCCTTTGGTATCAGCAAATCCTAGGGCTAACAGAATGTTATGGATTTGTTTGTTTTGGAGAACTCGTCGCACCAATTTCAAAGCGTTGGGCGGCTTACCTTGGAGAGCGAGAACGGTCTGGGTTCTCACATCCCTACCTTCTTCGGCACTACCACCCGCCGATTTACCCTCTACAAAAAATATTTCTTCATTTTCTTCCGAGCCAGATAATACTTTTACTAGATCAAGATTCTTTTTTTCACCTTGAAAAATATCTTGCTCCTCTTTTAAGTGTAGACGCAACTTGGCATTATCAATAATTTTCTCCTTAATGATTTTAGCCGTAGCGGCATTATCTTGAAAAAAACCACTTACTAATTCTTGGGTCAGTTTTTTGGTTTTTTCGCGGACTTCCCGATTAGCCAATCGGTCTTTGGTTTGGCCAGCAAATTCGGGGTCTTTAATGCGAATCGATACTAGCGAGGTTAAACCTACTAAAATATCGTTCGTTTCAATTTCTAAATTAGGATTATCCTTGATAACTAATTCTTTGCAAACTTCAAAAAGACCGCTCTCAAAACCGCTGATATGAGAACCGCCACCACTCGTGCGAATATTATTACAGAAAGAACGAATATTATTTTTGTCATAACTGTCCTGATACTGAAAAGCCAGACTTAATTGAAAATATTCCGAAGTTTTTTCTTCGCTCACTACCTGGTGAAAAATTTCTCCTAATGTCGTCCTGCCGGCATGAAGTTCTTCGATTCAACTCTTTAGGCCACCAGTAAAATGATAGACTATTGGTTCGGCCGTGGGAGAAGTAGCAAAATATAAAGTGAGATTAGGATTTAGATAGGCTATTTCTTTCAAACGTCTTTGAATGGTTTCTACTTTGAAATAAGTGAATTCCTTGAAAATTTCCGAGTCAGGGGTGAATTCTACTAGTAGACCGTTATTTCGTTCAGGAGTGTCAATAATTTGCGAAGAAATTAATTTTCCCCGTTCATAAATTATGTTTTCGGTTTTTCCTTCGCGGCTACTTTCTACCCGTAAAGATTTGGAGAGGGCATTAACTACCGTTACACCTACTCCGTGGAGTCCACCGGAAGTTTTATAGGCTTTGTCGTCAAACTTTCCCCCTGAATGAAGAACCTCAAAAATGGTTCTTAAAACGCTCATTTTGGTTTTGGGATGAGTTTCAATAGGAATGCCCCGTCCGTCGTCCTGGATAGTGATAGTAGTTTGGTCGGCTGAAAGAGCAATCCAGATTTTTTGACAATAACCGGCTACAGCTTCGTCAACCGGATTATCAATGGCTTCTCAGGCCAAGTGGTGTCAACCTTGTTCGTCCGTAGAACCGATATACATTCCCGGTCTTTTGCGGACCGCTTCAATATTTTCTAAAACTTGAATGCTTTCGGCTCCGTATTCGTCTTTTTTCTTTTTTTTTTCGGGCATAATTGAACTTTGTGAGGAGGATAATCGTTGTGTATTTTGATACGTCTATTTTGTTAGTAAAGCAATAATTTTGCTAGGGTGATTTTGATTTTTGAAACTGGTTATTTACTTGTTGTTGATAAAAAAAAATTTCAAGGATATTACTACTATTTTCTTTTGGCTTTTTTATTTTTCTGTTCCTTATTAGAAATTTTGGCTTCCTTTTTTGGTTCTTTTACGGACTCCTTTGGCACTTCTGCGACATATCGATAAACGAGAATACCGACAACAAACCCTAATAAAAAGGCTACTGGAACTACCACTAGATAAACTATTAAATCGTTCATAGGAAATAATTTACAAAAAGGAATTTTACTAAAAAAACCCTTTGGTAAAAATGGCAGAGGCGACAGGACTCGAACCCACAACTTCGGATCTGGAGGCCGACGTTTTACCAATTGAACTACACCTCTCAACCGAGAGAACCACTAGGTCCTCTCGGCACTTTTAACTTATAAAAATATGATAAACAAAAAACCTTTAACACATGAAGAATAAGCCGTATTCTGTTTTTAACCGGTGATCTGTCTTAATTCTTTTTGAGAATTACCAATTAAGATTATTTTTCTCTTGCTTTGGTGCTCCTACCAATTTAAGAATTTGGATTGCTCGCTAGCGGGGTTTACGACGTTCCACTTCCTCGGTTTCCCGAGTAATCGTCACTATGGCACTTTTATAGGCTAATATACCGTATGCCGAGGAGAGAAAGAGGCATTTAGGTAGTTCGCCAGCCGTCAGAAATAACAATAAAATCTGCCTAGGTTTATTGGACCTAGCACTAAAACTACTTACAATTCCAGTAAGTGCGAGTACGGACTTTCCTCAGTTATTTTTGAGATAACTGCCACCAGTCTTCATGTTTTAATAAATAATCTACTTTTCTCGTCAATTGTGTCAACTATCACACTGGGAACAATAAAATTTTATCCCTGCTTCTACATAGTAACCCAAATTATGCTTTTTAACTTGAGCCTTTTTCATATAAGTTCTTCATTTTGGGTCTGTATTTCAAGCACCATCTTTTCATTTCACCTTAGTTCGTTCATTACAACGTTCACATTTTATTCAAGCTTCATCTCAATTAACGCTAACACCAAGACCCTTTTGGTGGCGGGATAAATCGCCAAAATTTAATATTTTTTCTTATTTATTTCTTCTAAATTTCGTCCTTCTTTATTCATATTATATATTTTAATTTTATATTATTTTAAGTATTAATTAGGGAGGATAAAAGACCCTCCCTTTTATTCATCTTTATAAATTACTTAATTTATTCTTCACTTTCCTCATTTTCGCCTTCTTCCCCTTCTTTGTCTTGGGCTGTGGTTCCTTCTTCTTCGGCTGGTCCATTTCATCAATTACTAATTTGTTTTCAGCAAATTAAGAAGATTAGAGCACCAATTACCACTATTGCCAAAAGATACCAGTATCAATAGTCTCCCATGTGGGTTTTGAAACGAGCCCAAACTCCAGGTGTTTCTTCGTTAGGACTAGAAGTATCTCAGGTTGTGCTTCGCTGACTAACTTTGTTTAATTTTTCATCATAAAGGAAAGCAAGTAATTTGTCTCTTTCCATTTTATCTTCATTTCCCTCTGTAGGGTCACCATACTTCTCTCAATTAAACTTATTCTGTTTACGTTCATCATTTCACCCATGACTGGAATTTCTCATTTTTTTCATTATCTCTTTTATCTTGCTTTTGTCTGGATTATCTTTGAAAGCATCTTCATTCTCATGAACTACAATGGTTTTTATCACATTGGAAGCTGTATTTTCTTTCAAAAACTTTTCTCATAACTTTTGGTTATCAGCCTCATCAATTTTACCGCCACCCGCTACACCCTCTACTCCTTTATCTCGCACATGGGAAGTAATGGCAGCGAATTTAGTAGCATTAGTTTTATAGTCGCTGATAATCCTCTTAATGTCGGTTTCTTTCAGTGCTTTATCATCAACTTTTTTTCACTTACTTAATAATGTCGCATCCACGGTGAAGCCGAATATTGCTCCCAACTTTGCTTCATCTAAATCGGAAGATGTTGGTTGATCATCACCGGCAATTGATTTGCCTTTTTTCACATCTTCATATAATTTTTTCTCTGCATTTGACAAAAGTCGTAATTCCTCGGCTTTAGCAAAAGCTTCTTTATATTCGTTTAATTGAGTTTCACTAAGGTTCGTAGCTCTTTCTTTGCCATTTTCTCCAGCGTCTCTATAGAGGTGAATTTTAGCATCCCATGGTTGCAATTCATTTCTTAAAGTAGTCAACAAAGTATGATAACCTTTGTAGGTTGGGTCTAAATTAGTTTGTGCATCTAAATCAGCCGGAACAGGCCGTTGTTTTTCTCATAAATCACCAATTTGTTTTAAAGTCGCAAATAATCAGTCGATTTCGGTATTCAGATACTTAGTAGCAGGAGGACCGCTTTTGTATTTCTCCATAAATTTAGTTTGGAGAGTTGGTAAATCTTTGATATCTAAATTGGATAAAGCATCCTCTAAAAGTTTTCGTTCCTCTTTTAAATCCATTAATTCAACATTATAATCCGCTTCGGTGCCTATAATCTTTTGTAAATGTGCTTCATAACCATCGCGAATTATTTCTTGCTCTCTTTTCTTTTGTCCTAAATTATAAACTTCTTGGTCAACAGCATCAAGAGAAAGGTATCTTTTTCAACTAGTAGGTGAACCGCTGGTGGAACTTGGTAAAGCTAGAGGAGCATTTTTATCTAACTTAAAACCTTCATTGTAGTCTATTAACTTTCGAGAAAGTAAATATTCGGTAGACAACACGGGGTTGAAACCCGATTCTTTTTTCAATCTAATAAAATCTTTAACTGTTTCACGAGTAATTTTTTCTAAAAATTCTTCATCTATTTCAATACCATCTATGTTTTTAGCCAATCTCTTAACATTTTTAATTCAATTAATTAATTCAATCAAAACTTTTCTCTCTGTTTCTTGACCACCATATTGCATCACATTTGCTCATTTAGTTACTCCGGAAGTTCTTTCAGCTGCATCACTGAAACCAGAATCCCAAAAGTATTGTAAGATGCCAACAATATCAGTTTTGCCTGTATCAAATGGTTTATCAAATTGTTTTTGATCTGGTCTATATTTTTCTATTCATTTCTTCAACAGTAAACCCTGGCCTGTTTCCGTGCTGGTAGGAGTTAGGTCTTTAGTATAAGCAGCATTTATGGTGAAAGAAAAATCACTTTTGTTTAAAATGCTTTCTTCTAAATGATTGCTACCATTTCTATTAAATAATGGATGGAAAGAACTAGCGGCACTATCTAGGCTGGTATTGGGAAAGACCGTTTCCATAAAATCAATAAAACCGACAAAATCAAAATAGCCTCCCTCAAAAGGGTAAGTAGCATCCTGACCACTTACCGAACCGTCCGGTCATTTGACAATTGAATTACCACTCGCAAATGGATCATATTTGGAAGTTTTTCCATCGCTTTTCAAATCTTCCCAACTTGTGTTGCCGAAACTTCCCCCCAATTTTCCTCATTCTTGTTTTAATAATTGTTCTCATTTATCTTTTAAAGCTTGTTTCGTGATAAGAGTGCTACCTGTGGGAAAAGTAAGCGTTGCACTATCAATATAAGCAAAAAGTTTGTTTTTATCAATATTCGCTTTCATTATATTAAATACTTGAAAGCCTACTTCCCTCAATGGATATCCAGTAATACAACTACGATGAACCGGTGCGTATCTAATCTTTGCTTTAAAAAGAGGAGTAGGATGAGAAGCTCGATTCTGGTAATGCTTAATAACCTCAATTAAATGCGTATTGACATGGATGGGAGTGGTTGAACCAGTCGGAGTATATGAATAAACATCATTAGTGGTATTAGTGAAATTTCCAGTAGCAGGGTCTATATCTACACCAATTAAATGAGAACGAAAAGTGACACCTAAATCATTTTCTTTTTTTTCAAACTCTCTTCTTTTTCGTTCAGCTTCCGCTCCTTTCTCCGCTAAATCCGTTTTCTTTTTTTGATTGGAGGCCAATTTGGCTTTGAGAGAACTTTCCCGACTTTTTATATCTCTAATTTGGGCTTCCAAAGTGGCTTTATCGCTACTTGGGGTTTCAAAACTTTCCAAAGTCGTAACCGCAATTTCAAACTGATTACTATTCTTTTCGTTAATCGCTTTTACGCTGTCCGGATTATTGCGTTTGTAACCTTTTAATGCATTCAGCAGAGTAGTATTTTTTATATTTTCTTCTTTGGCTTTGATAACTTTTTCTAGTATCTCAGCCGTATCCCTTATTTTTGTTAGATCATTTTTAATAGAATCGTGGTCAAAGATAGTTTTTTCTGCCGCAGTTAATTTTCTGCCATTATAAAGCATACTATCCGCAACCGCATCGTCTTTTTTCTTTATTTCATTCTTATTAATAGCCATATAATTTATTTTATTATTGTTATAATTATGTAATACTCAGTTTTAGTTATTCAGTTATTAGTTTCGTTGTCCAAAAAAAATTTTGTAAAATTTTCGTGCTAATATATTTATCTATGTACATAAAAACACAAAAGTGAAACATAGTCAATAAAAGTAGAGAGAGGGAGAGAGACGAACTCCATCCGTTCACCTAAACTCAACATATTTATCGTTCATTCTATTGATAACCATTCATCCTTCTACATATAATTAATTTTATATATATAACTTTTGTCCCAAAACCTCAATTAAACCCTCCCCTTGGTGAAAAATAACAAAAAATATTCTAGTTAGGATGGTATTTTCACGCCGCAAAAAGAAAATCAGTTCCATCTGGTGCAGCAAGTGTAAAAGAAAGATAATTCGTTAGTTTTTGCCAAATTTTAGTCCGAATAAATTAATCCAGCAAAGAGTTGGTTTTTATTCCCGTAAATAATCCTAATTTTCATTGGAGTTTATTGGTGTATGAGGTAAAAGAGAAAAATTTTTGGCATTATGATACTTTAGGTGGGGCAAATTATGGGTATGTGAAAGGGTTGGTGAAGGAATTGTTGGAACAGATTCACGAAAAGAAAGTAGAATTAAAAGGGTTTTTAGTAAAAAGACATGACATTCGGCAAAATAATAGCTGAGAACGTGGAGTGGCTGTTATAGCGATAATAAGAAGGATAATTGAGTTAAAGAATCAGAGTTGAATAGACAGGTTGAAGTATGGAAGATTTAAAATGGAGGATGATTTAGGGGGGGATGGATTTTATTACTTTGTGCGAAATTAGTGTCAGAGTAGTTTTCTCTGAACTCCTTGCTATTCAAGGGATTGGATCCTAATTTACTGACATTTAATTCGCACTTTGTTATACTAAAGAACGACAAGAATTAAGAAACCATTATTTAGCCGCAGACAAGTAACTTATCTAATAAATAATTCAAGCGTTATTGCTTATCAGATAAGGGGAGTTAATAACTCCCCTTTTGTTACTTAGGAGGGATTTCTTGTTGGGCTTGGTAAGAAGTTCCTTGGTCTTCGTCCTCAAGTATTACTAACTCCACTGACTTAGAAATATCTTTCTTAATTGCTAAAAGTGCATTTATCTTTTCAGCAGGTATTCCTTTGCTTAATCCTGGTTTAATATTTTCCAATTCTTTGATAAATTCTTCTGGAGTTTCTGGAATGGCTTTAAAAAGTGCTTCCAGTTTTTCTTCCCTAATTTTTTGCTTATCTCTAGAAAGTAAACTTTTGCTTTTCAATTTATCCTTGAGTGAGCCAATCAATTGCTCTAAAATAGACTCCCCATCAATTTTGTTGACATCTAATTCAAGATCTTTAATAGCGTGAAAAATTTTGCTGATTTCCCTAGTATTTATAGGTTTGCTGTGTCTTGATGCCTCAGGATGGGGTTCGAATCGAGGAATCTCAATGTTGTCAAATTCCCCTTTTCTTCACAATTCGAGAAGTTGAAAACCTAACTTATAAACTCGTGAAGGTAATTTAGGAAGTTTAGTGGCAACAAAACTTATAATTTCTGTTGGTGTAAATTCTGTAAACTCTTCTTTTTCTGATATTGTATCTGATATTATAGAAAAGACTGAATCAAATTGCTCTTTTAATTCTTTTGCAGTTGGTCTCTTTGCCGGATCAGCATCCCAACATTTCTTGATTATGTCTTTTACCATTTGTGGCACTTTAGCATTGTCTATGTTTGGCCGTAGACCATTACATATTTTTAAGGATAAATCATTGCCGTTCTTGATAACTACTTGTTACTGCATCATAAGTTACATAAGGAGGCAAATCTGTAATCATTTCTGCGGCCAAGATACCAAAAGAATAAATATCACTCGCTTGGGTGTAAGGATGGCCTTGTAAAACTTCCGGAGCTACGTAAGGCAATACTCCATAAATTTTCTCATCGTCCTTTTCATCAACTGGCTTGCATAATGCAAAATCAGTGATAAAGCATATACCGCCACCATCATAACTTAAAATATTTCCAGGATGCAGGTCTCGGTGAATTAAGCCTTGCGCATGAATAGCATCTAAGCCTCCGAGGATAAAGTATAATCTTGCAAACTTTGCTATTATTCTTTCCAAGCCGTATAAATCACTATCATCATTTATCAAAATTTTTCTCAAATCGCCTTTATCCATATAATCCACTACCATCACATAGTTGCCATTAGGTTCTCGGGAAACTCCATAAAGTGGCAAAATAAATTTACTACTGCATACCTTATGATTGGCAACTTCCTTTAAAAAACCAGCAGTTATATTTTTTGAATCATTTAAAACTTTTAAGGCGATTTCTTTATCTTCCTCTCTTTCTCATTTACTATCTTCGACATTCCACTCTTTAATTGGTCCATCTTTCCATTTTGCCTTGTAAACTTCACCAAATCCTCCTTTACCTAAAACTTTGTTATGGCCATACTCATCTTTTTCAATTTCAAATTGTTCGTAAGGAATTCATTCTAAAACCTCTTGTGAGTTGGCTGCTTCTGACTGAGTTTTTTGGATTAATCCATCAACTTCTGAATCGCCGCTAGTTCATTTGTCAAAATTTTGGGCAAAATGCTTAGAACCACAAGGTTGACACCAAACTCCCTCTTTTACAAAATGTCAATCTTTTTCAATCCCACTTTTTTTATAAGCCCAAGTATTAGGCTGCTTACACTCCGAACACAATCCACCTTCCTTATATCTTTTCCTTAGTTCCTTATTTGGTATTAGTTTCTTGACTAATAATTTTTGCTCAGAAGTCAACCTATTGTGATCAAATTCCTCTAATTGCTCAATTATTTCTTCGCTAAGCTCATGTGCGTTTTCTTTCTTTAATTCTTCCTCAATATATTTTTCATACTTTTTTCTTAGTTTTTTTTGACTGGCATCGGGGGGATTATGACCTTTTTGTTTTAAATAATCAGCGTAACCTCATTCATCGATCTTTAAACCTGCCTCAATTCACTTTTCAAATTCTTGTTCGCTAAATCCTTTTGCTTCTCAATTTTTTCTATACTTCTTTCACCTCTGAAGTTTTTTTTGGACGAAAGTTTTTTCCTCCTTTCATTCCCCTTCAAAATAATCAGAAATACTTTTTACTTTAGAATCTTCTCTTAAATCTGACGAAAAATAAAATTCTTCAATACTTTCGGGCAAATATTCTAATCCTTTGTCAAGATCGGTGTTAGAGATATCAAGTTTTTTTAATTTTGTTAGATTTTTTAAAGGTTCTAGCGAGCCATGAAATCTTTTTAAATTTAATGCTTCAATGTTATCGCCGTTTTTACCAAAGCGTTCTCCTAAAATCAATTCCTCCAAATTAGTAAAACGAGAAAAAGGCTTTAAGTCACTGTCAATGTTGTTGGAAGACAAATCCAGCACCCTTAATTTCTCAGGGTTAGGTAATTGTTGTAAAAAACTAATGTCTGATATTTGGTTAGAGGACATTTGCAACTCCTCTAAATTAGTAAAATCAGACAAATTTAAGGCACCGGTCAGGTTTTCATGACCAATATCTAATTTCTTTGTTTCTTTCCTTTTCTCAAGAGGATAAAAATAATCTATTCATTCTTGAGCATCTCTTTGTTTTTTAAACTTGTCAGCGAATTGTTGAGGAGTGTAACCATTTTCTTTTAAGTAAGCAACAAGATTTGCCTTTTTAGAAATTAGGCCAGCTTCTAGCCAGGTTTTAGCCTCTTGGGGGGTGAAGTTGTAATCTTTTCATTCCTTGACTTTATTTATTGTAATCACTTAATTCAAAACCTGCCGGAATTCATTGCTTGACTTCCTGGTAGGAAACACCCGCTTCTTCCCAAAGTTGTTGATGGGTTTTGCCCGAAAGAACATTTTCTCTAGCAAAATCAGAATGAATATCAATTCAAAGTTTATTATATTCTGCTCTTAAATTTGCTAAATTGTTTTGTTGTTTAACTTCTTGGCTAGTTAGGTGTTTTTCATCTCGGAGTCAAGCACAAAAAAGAGCATCATTTTCCGGAGTAAAACTCTTTCCCAGAATATCAACTCATTCGTTGGCTTGCTGAACATCAAATCCTTGGCTTTGCCATTTCTCAAATATTTCTTCATCGTTTAACAACTGTTTTTTTAATTCCAACAATTCTTGTTCTTTTTCTTTTATCTTGTTTTCAATTTGTTCTAATGATTGATCCTCGGCTCCCTTTTCTTGAAGTTTTTTTTCACATTCTTCTTCTCTCTTCCTTAAATTCTCGAAGTCTAGATCATTAGGAGAAAGATCAGAATCATCTTTAGTGATTCTCTTAATAAAAATATCTCCACCTAATACGTTGTGAATTTCAGCACTATTGTTGAGTATATGCCCACGTATCACTCCTCGAATTTTATCTTCTACCTCTTTGAGTTCTTCTTGCAATTCTTTGGCTTCCTCTAGTTCTTTTATTCTTTCTTGCGTTTTTTCTATTTCTTTCAGCAGCGTAGTTATTCCTCTCTTAAGAATGGTTTTTTTATCCTCTTTTCTAGACGTCATAGACTGATTAGGTGTCATAGAACTGAACTCAGTGGATGTTTCTCCTTTGTTTATAAGCGTTTCTTTATTTGTAGGCATCTCTCCTTCATATTGAGAAACTAATTCCGTTTCATTATTTTCTGTATCCGCTTGGTTATTTTCTGTGCCTTCTCATATTTGGGAAACGTTTTTAGAGTCATTTTCATCATTTTTAGTTGTTGCAACAACTTGATTATTAATTTTTTTATTTTCTTCCTTTTTCGTGACTTCTAAACCCAACTTTTTCTTTTTTTCTTCTAACTCTTTTCTCTTTTTCTCCTTATCTTCCATGTAGGCAACAATCTCACAACTTAACTTTTGTAATTTTGAAGGTTTATAAGTATTTTGGCAAACTTTGCTACTCAAGTGTTCTAGTATTTTTTTACGAGAATTTTTTCTTAACCTTTTGTCGGAAGGTGGATTGTCCACATGAATTACCCTACTTCCGCAAGAATCAATTATCTCACTGAGGGTTGATTCCAATTCTTTTTTTAAACCTTTGATTTCTGTTAATATCTTCTGATATTCTTCGCTATCAGGAGATAGAATTTCTATTTTTTTCTCATTATCTAAGATTTTCTTTTCTAATTCAATCTTTTTTTCCCCAGTTTTTTCTTTCATTAACTTTATATCCTCTTCACGTTTATTTTTACTTCTAAAATCGGCAAAGTTAGTGCGAACAACAGTAGTGTAATTCGCAATCTCTTCATCAAAAATAATGGTTCTTAACAAGTTATAAGTTGTCATTTCGTATTTATCAAACCTACTATCAATGACAAATAAAACTTGACTAAGGCCATTTCTAACTTGATAAATCGCTCCGGCGATGATATCTAGTACCTCATTATCCGACATTTTGGTATCACCAATGCCAGGAGTATCAATTATTAAATAACTAGCGTCGTTCTCTGTAAATTGTTCAAATTGAATTTTCTTAGTTTCACTGACACTACCAGAACTTTCTCTAAAAACTTCTTCAAAATTGCCATTTTTGTTTAAAAGCACATTGGCCAGGGTAGACTTACCCCGGCCTGACCTTCCAATCAAAAGAATTGATCTAGTCCTTCTTTTTCTTCAGGTTTTGATGCTGTAATCATAAGGAAAAAGTTGCTCTCTAATCTTGCTTACTTTGGGTTCGGGATTAAGAGGGTTAGGATATTGATCACTATCAGTATACAAATCTTCTATACTTTTTGGTAAGAATTCCAAACCAGAATCTATATTAGTTCCCCCGATTTCTAACCTTTCTAATTTAGTCAAATTTGCTAGAGGCTTCAATGAACCAGAAAAAGAGGTAGCATTAATTTTTAAAGTTTCTAAGTTAATAAGTTCACTAAAATAATCTAAAGTGTTTCCTTTTCCTAGGCTATTGTTATTATCAAAAGCCATAGTCTTTATTTTTTCCTTTGCTAAAGGAGAAATAGTAATTTTTGTTAGATTATTATCTGAGCACTCTAAACTTTCTAGGTTAATAAAGTCAGATAGGTCTAATTCGCCCTTTAAAAATTCTTTATTATTTCTAATATTTAACTTATTTATTTTTTCTCTGGTATCTCTTGGATAATTATCATCCAATCACTTTTGAATATTATATGCTTCTCTTAGTTTTTCTATGCTGGTTGAGGAAAAATCATCGCACTTTTTTTGTTTTACATAATCAGCAAAATCATAATCATCAGCCTTTAATCCCCTGCCGATTCACTTTTTGCACTGCTCATAATTAAACCCTTTTTCTTCTCATTTTTGTCGTAATTCGGCAGTAAAATTTAGATGAATATCTTTTCAGATTATTCTTCTATAGCATTCGCTACTTCACGAACAAACATCCTTAAAAGCCTTATCTCAACTACCTCCGTGATGACTAGAATAATTGGTTTCCCATCAAGAATTATCATTAAGCAATTTGACCAATATTTTATCATTTTTGTCTTCATAGATAGAAAAGTTCACCACCTCCTTTCCTTTAAAATCCTTAATTTTTGCTCCTATCAATGGCAAATTTGAATGTCGACTATTACCATCAGATCTCAAAACATCCGAGTGTTTGTAAGTTTCGCCTTTAACAAATCAATTTCCTTTTGCATTGTTTATTAAATGATTTTTGAAATTACTTTCCTCTAGATATACCATAATGCTTTACTTTATTTTTTTAAATTATATTTGCTATATTCAATGGCTGCAACTGGTAATTCGTTTGCTAAGTGAACCTTCATATTTTTGATTACCTCATTTTTTTCTTTTTTTCCATTAATATAATCATCGACTAATTGATATATATCGTTTCATTTTCCAAATTTGTAAGGTTCATTACATTTTTCTGCCAAATGATCAAGTACTATTTTTCTCGAAACCTCTTTTTTTTCTTTAATTTCGTTTATTTCTTTTTCATCATCACTATCAGCCTCATCTTCATCTATTTTAGGTATAGGCGGATTATTTACATATATGATACCATTGCAAGAATCAATTATTTCTCTAAGATCTTTGTTGTCTTCGCTAAGTAAAGATTGACGATCTTCTTCACATTTTTTGAATCTCTAAATTCGTCAAATTTAGTGCGAACTAAAGTAGTAAATTTAGTAATTCCACTTTCCGAAATAAATGTTTTAAACTTTTTAAAAGCCTCTACTTGCTCCGGACCAAATCGTCCTTTAAAAACAAAAAGAATTTGATTAATTCCCTCTTTAGCCGCGTGAATTCCTTCGCCTATTTCTAAAAAAATCTCTTCTTCTGAAATATTGCCGGTATCGCCAAATCCGATATTATCAATTAGACGATATTTTTTACCTTGCCATTCAAAAGGTTCCTTAACTAACTTGAAAGCGATCGGTTTTGCTGATACCACCACCACTTTCTTTAAATTCATTATTATTGGCTAAAAGACTAGCCAAAGCAGATTTTCCATTTCCTGTTATGCCTATTATTAAGATATTATTTACCATATCATTTTATTTTTATTTAATTGTTTAAATGTTGTTTTGAATTATTTTTTAATCACTAAGGAACTTAATCCTATTTATACCTAACCAGGAGTGATTATATAGTTAACTAGTTAGATATCTCAATTGTTCTGACCATAAGCAATTATTTTTATTGATTTTATTTGCTTTTTCTATAGAAAACTTTTCCCATATAGAGACTATCTTCTATATATTATATTTTTTATAAAAAGGAACTATATGGCGGATATTAAAAATATAATCATAATTGGTAAAGTAGGGAGTGGCAAATCGGCTTTGGCGAATGCGTTAAGCAATTCTGATGAGTTTAAAGAAGAAAGTTCCTCGCTCACTAAAGTTTGAAGAGCAGTAGATAAGGAATTTGAAAGCGAAAAGATAAAGTATCGAGTAATTGATGCGGTCGGCTTAGGAGATATAAAATTAACCAAAGAAAAATTATTAGAAAAATTTGAAGAAGAAATTGGTACTTATATTGATGAAGATGTAAGCCAAATCTTTTTGACAATAGAAGGGAAATTCTCTGAATCCGAAAAGTCTTTAAACGAATTTCTTTGGCTAAATGAATATCTTTTTGATAACAAAGTGCTGGATTATACTACCATCATAAGAACTAATTTTCCTAATTTTAGAAACAAAGAAAATTGTGAAAAGGATATAAAAGAGTTAATTAATTTCTTTAATGATAACGGCAAGGAAAACTATGCAGAATTAAATGAAAAAGTTCTTAAAAAAGAAAAAATTGTTCATGTTGATAATCCGCCGTTTAATGAAAATCTTAGAAAAAAATCCAACAAAAAATTATTAGACTACTTGAAAAAGTGTAGCGACGGAGAGCCTTATAGATCAAATTTGAGCAAATGGTTAACTGAAAAATACCCTGAAAACGAAAGAGAAAATAAAACTGTATTGGATATCAGTGGCCAAAAGTTAAAAGGAAGATTAAATTTAAAAGGATTTGCTAATTTAAGAAGATTAAATTGTGCTGGTAATCAGTTGACTAGTATGGATTTGAGTGGTTGTAAAAAATTAGTCGAACTTAATTGTGCTGATAATAAATTCGCCAGTTTAAATTTCCTTAAATCGGTAAGTTCGGATAATTTATTAGAACAATTGAATATTAGCAATTGTTGTTCTTTAAAAGGAGATTTGCAATCTTTAAAAAATTTAACCAAATTAGAAACATTATTTATCACCAATACTAATCTTGATGGAGATTTAGAATGAATACCAAGCAACTGTAAAAAACTGGTTTGCAATTCTAATCCTCCAACTGAAATTATGGAGATGCTGGAAAGAAGTGGTTGCTCGAAAGAGGACCAATACCATAAAAGATATTACAACCTCGACAAATGACGAGAAACCGATAAACAAAATAAACTTACTGCCGAAGTCATCCCTTCAGAACGATTATTCGTCATTCGCAGCAATCTCAAACAATTCTTAAAAAAATGAGGAACTAAGGATAATAATGGTCAAACTGAACTCAGTAAATTACAAAACCCTCAAGAACTTAACACTTACTGATACTTAGGAGAAGGCGGTCAATGATTAGCCCGCGGCACAGCAGTTACCGGTGGTATTCTCGCAGCTACTGTTAATCCCATACTAGGGGGAGTATTAGCGGCAGTTTCCCCAGTAGTGGAGATAAGTGCTTCTCAAATGAAGGACAAATTTTACGAAACCAAGCAGCAGAAATGAAATGAATTTCTCACCGATGCCGATAATTTTTTAGATAATTTTAATGAATTGTTGGGAACTTTGAAAAGAATTGCTGGTGGAGAATTAGGGGAAGTAAACAAAAAACTTGATGAGTTAAATAACAAAGTCAAAGAATTTTTGCAGGACTATGATAAAGACGGCAATCGAGAAATTGATCTTGATGAGTTAATTAATGAAAGAATGAAATTCAATAAGGAATTAGATAAAATAGAGGCCATTGAACGAGCCATTAAGGCCTTAGAAAAAGAAGTAATTAAATATAAAAAAGGTTCGATTGGTGAAGAAAAAGATGAAGAAACAGAATCAACAAAATCAGAAACCCAGCCAACTGCTTTAGAAATCAAACTAGCCCAAAGAAAACAAGAGCGAGAACAATTGGAACAAAAAAAGAATGAATTGGCAGTTGAACTAAAAGAAATCGAAATTCATTGCCAACAAATTAAGAAGGAGTTATCTCAGCATCAAAATGATTTGCTTCTACTTACCGACACTGATGAGGAAAAAGGGTTATTGAAAGAAAAAATAATTGATTTGAAAAAGGAGTTAAGAGAAGTTGAGCAAAAAAGGCATGATATCAGCCAACAGTTAATTAAAACCAACGTTGTTTTGTTCAGTCAGCAGATTAAGAATTTAAACTTGGGTTCCAAAGTTAGTCAAAGTTGGACTGCTACTTGTGAACGTGCTAAAAATTGTGTTTTTCGCACCAAACTTTATTTAACTACTCCTATTTACTGCTGAGAAGAGATTTGTCAGGGAAAGTTATCGGAGGAGATGGCAGAAAATAATGCAAAAGGTAAAGAAGTAAAAGACGAACAATATGAAAGGCAGATGGAAGTTGGTTTTTATCAGAAAAAGTAGATAATTTTTAGGTTAAATTTAGATATTTTTCAATCAACTCTCAAAAAGCAGATTGATAAAGTTGCAAATCACTTTTCATTTTACCAAATAATTCCTGTAAATGCCTTCTTCCTGATTGATAATCATCATTTAAGGACAATTCAGAAAAGTATTTTACTACAAAAGAACACAGGTAAGTCAATTTTTTATCTTTGGTCAAAAAATCCTTAGAGCAGGAATCTAGCACATATAATTTAAATTGCTCAAAAGTCTCGACTATCTCTATTCCTAAAAGTTTTTTATATTTTCCACTCTTGTTTGATATTAGGTGATAATTATTCATATTAAGGATTAAAAATTCTATTTAACGCTTGCCTTAACATTACCAAGGCTTCTGGGTTTTTGACCATAACACCACTACGAGAAGTTTCTAGCCCTCGTAATATATCATCGGCACAATCATAACAATGAAAATTTTCCTCATTTAAATTTATTTCCTCAGAATCTGACTCTATTGCTTTATGACTAAAAACTGCAAGTGGCGGCATTGATCCTCTTTTTGAATTAGGACAACTTTTTCTATAACTATTGCATCAGTTTTTTTGATTTCAATTAATGATGATTGCTACTTTTCAGTTTTCTCCATTTTTATGTAATTCCAAAATTGTTTCTTGCATGTGGTTTTAAAGAATTTAATTATCTCAACTACTTACAAACTTAATTAACTTTTCTTTTATTTCTTGGCAAGGAGGGCATAATTTTGTGTTCATTTCTTCAACTAAAAAAAGTTTGGCCAAAGTCCTTTTTACGTATTCAGACACTATTATTACTTCGTTTATTTCTCATTTTTTTCTATTTTTGAGGGTTTCAATTAACTTTACTCTTAACTGGCAACATTCGGTAACTTTTTGTTGTATTTCATCCAGCATACTTTCTCTTTGAGTTAGTTCAGAGTAAGCCATACAGCCTGATTTTGACATGCCTTTGTATATTATTTCCGTCATTAAATAATTTTTCGTAACTTCTTTATCATTTTGTGGTTCGCCAATTATTTTGGCTAGTTTTTCACTTACCTGTTCTTTATCGAGACCCACATTGTCTACCATTTTTAATATTTGTTGGCATTGTTCTCCATTTACTATTCTTTTATTTACGTTCATATTTTAATTTTAAGGAAAGCAGTCTAATAATGTTCTAAATATAATTCTGTCTTGGTCGTAATTCAGCGACTTAAGTCAATAACTATTGTAACTGTCCAAATACTTCTTCAGCACAAAAACCACAAACCCCAGTTTTACTATTAGTACAAGCAGCCGCCTCCCAAATAACTTTGCATGCACTTTTAGTATTTACTTGCGTATAAATCCCCTCATCGTCTTTTGCAATAAACTCACCTGACAAATCCCGTCGTAACTTCACGTTGCTCAATAATCACCTGCCCCAACCTCTGAGCATTCACAAACAATCTGGTCCCTTGATGTCTACTTAAGGCAATAAAATGCATTAAAAATCTTTGTCGTTCTCTAACATCTTGCACAATATTCCCTTTAAACAATAAATTAATCTCATCCAAAAAAATAGTCTCAGTCACAAAGGCGAATACAACAAGGTTTTTCAAAAAGTTAAGGATATCGAAACTAATATTCAAAAGACTATTCCAGAAAAAGTAAAAGATATGAAAGAAGTGATGGCTCAAATTGAAAAAAAAAAAAAAATGAAGAAGTTACAGCCGGAATAGATGATAAATTAGATTTTTTTACTGGAACATGCATTGCGATTGACGGTAAGCAAGAGGTTTTTTTAAATAGACTAAAACAATCTCTTCGTTTGTTGGCAAAAAAAATAGCACACTATATTGAATGATTGGTGAAGATTAAAAGATTACAAAGATAGATTAGAGAAATTGGAAAAAATGAACAAGGAAGCAAATCAGTTGGCGGCCGATTACAAAGCGGTTAAATTGCGAGGAGATGAGGAAGAAGCAAGCCGATTGCTGGGTCTTTTACTTGCCAAGCAAGCAGAAATTAGCAGTTTAGAAGAGGAACTAAAAAAAGATCCGTTAAATATACTCTTTGGAGATGAAACTAAAGATTTTTTTGCTAATATTGGCAAGAATGTGTTGCGGAACAATGCTGACTTTTTAAAATTTAAAAAAGAGAAAGCAAAAGATAAGGAGCAAGTTCATTTTCCCGGCTTTATTCCTAGAAAATATATTGAAAAATTAAAGTGGGGGACAATAATTTTCGTGGTTTTGCTACTGTTGTGGTTAATTGTTTGGTGAATCAGGAAAAAGGTTAGTTAATTTTACAGACTTTTTGTTTTGCTAAAATATTAATATGATAGAAAAATAAATAGAATATTTTAAGAATAAATAAAGAAATAAAACTATCATGAATAAGAATAATGTAATCAACGAGAAGTTTGTAGTGGTTGCAAAAAACAAAAAACTCTAAAATAAAAATAAATAAAATGTGTTATTGTGATTACTGACATAGACAAAGATAAATACTGAATATCCGAAGAATTACGCGGAGAAGAATGAAACGATACAATTAAAGAAAAAATCTGCAAAGAAGTAATAGAGAAACTTGAAAACTTGCACAAAGATATCGGTTTAGAGGTCGTTGTTGATTTTAATGAGATAAAAGAAAATTATGTCAAAACACTTGAAAAAAGTGAAAGTAAACCAGAAATAGATGCTTACCGAGAAGGCCTTTTCATCGGCACTTTTGAAGAGATTCTAAAACGATTAATAATTAATGAATGAGATGCTAATGGCGGAAACTTCAAAGAGGACGACTCATGAGCCTACTCAAAAACAAAAACTTTAAAAGTATTTAAAGAAAGTAATAAAGTGCTTGCTGAAATTCGCGATATAAATTACGTTTTAAGTGGATTTTACTTAACTTACCATCGAAATAAAGACAAAATTGACAATATTGTTGAATCTTATGAAAAAACTTTTCTTTCCCTGAATAAGAAAATAAATTGAGAAGAATTTAGAATCTGACTAGAAGAGAAAACAGAACATAAAAGAGGAATGGAAATGGCTCTTTGAAAAACGGCTATTATTAAATTTGAGCGAGGAGAAATTGGTCTTGAATATTTTCTAAAACAAGAAGATGAAGAACTAAGCGAAATGTTTTTACATTTGGGGAAGGCTTAAAAGAATGATTAAAAGAAACAGGAATTATCACTGATGACAGCAAAGAAAAAGAACCAGAAATTACTCCTTATAAGATTTCGGATAATGATGGGGAAGATGACGAGCAAAAAAAAAAAACAGTATGATTGAATGGACTTTTTTAACTGGAATTATAAATCTTTATAACGAACTCAAATCTGAAAGAGAGAAAATTCGGCAATTGAACGACAATTTAGGGAAAAAGCATAATTTGGAAACAACTGAAACCCGAGGGATAGAAACAGAAGAGGAAGAAATTACCGCAAAAAAAAGCGGTCCGGCTGATCCGGCCGAATTACAAAAGCGAATGAGTGATGTGGAAGATTATTTAAACGGAATTAATTGAGGAGAGAACGAGGACGACAAGAAGGCTTGAGAAAGTTTTAAGGGTGGGTATTATGAAATTATTGGCATTGGAAAATATAAATAACCAAATTATAGGTCTAAAAAAAGACATTAATAACCTTAATGAAACTGTTGCAAAACTGGAAGTCCAACTGACCGAAAAGAATACTGAAATAGAAGGAATAAAAAGGGACAAAACACAATTGCAGAATAAATTAGACACCGCTGATAATGAAAACAAAATTTTAGCCAAAGAAAAAACTGATTTACAAACTGAAATCAACGGCAAAACTGAAAAAATAACCGAGTTGGAAAAAGATAAAAATGACCTTAAAACTGAAAGAGATGCCAATGCTGAATTGGCTGTTAAACATGCTGGTGTATTAAAAAGTTTAGATAATCAATTTGATGTTTTTGACCCGGATGAGACGGGAGGTTTTGTTCTTAACGATACCAAAGTAAACAAGCTAAAAGATATCGTTGCCGTTGCCCGAGCGTTAGGAATTTTGGGAGAAGGAAATATAGTGGACGAAGATAAAAAACAAAAAGTTATCAATGGTTTTGCTAGTTTTATCACCATTAACGGTGATTTTCCGGATATTTTTGATGGAAATGGAAAGTTAGTAGTTGAAAAATACAACAAATTAAAAGATGATGTGGATAAAAGAGATGAATATGAAGCAAAAATTAGAAGTTTTTCTGACCTGAAAGATGATGGGGAAATACCTGACAATTGAGAGGATAATGTTAAACTTTGAAAACGAGGCTCTAATGAGGCTGACGCTGAAGCCGATAAAGTAAAGGCCACCAATACCGAAATGATAAAGGCATTACAGAATGCCGAACAAGTGGTGCCAACCAGAGGTTTTTTAGAAACCGAGGCAGAATATAATGCTCGGTTAGTTCAAAAAATTAAAGATTTAAAAAATAATAAAAATGACGAGACAGAACAAATTAAGGAAAAGTTCAAAGAGGCTTTACAAAAAGCCCAAGAATTATTGGGTTCAGCAACCGGAAAAAAGAGTCTCGTTGCCGCTACTAGCCCAAATTTTCGAACTTGCACCGAAGCCAATAATGAATTTCTGAAAATAATAGAGGAAGTGGGGACGACTTATCTGGGACTTACTAATGAAGATTTTAACGACCTTAATTTTGTAAGAGAAGAACTTAACGATTATCCTCTTTTACTTTGAGATGAGTTTAAAAATGACACCATTTCTCGTTTAGATGAATTTCTTTCGGATTACGGGACAGTTAATGAGGAGGGTTTTAGTTATAAAACCTTGATTGAGAATGTAAAGGATTTTAATTTTGCCGAAGTGTCAAGATTAGAAGATGAGTGAGCGAAATTAATTGCGGTTAGCCAAATTCAACTTGAACTTCGGAAAGCCGGAATGAGACGAGAGGATTTGGAAAATGATTACAGTGAATTAGAAGGTGACGAGCCGATTGGTCCTGAAGTTAACCGAATAAGAAGAAAAGTTATTAAGGAAATTCATGAAAAAAAAACTGACTTGACGAAGGTTAAAAACGATAATGAAACATATCTGGATTCCTTCGTTCAAGTCACTGTGCCTGGAGATAGTGAAGCAGCCAGAAACGCAACTCTTAAAGAATGATTGGAAAATAATGCTATAGATTTTGCTTATGACGACCCTGATACTTGAAGAACATGATTCAAACAGGCAGGAAGTCTAGAAGGTTTAGTTTATCGAGCCAAAAAAATTGTGGAAGGAGCCAAAGACCTACAATTAGACGCCGAACAAAACGAGCGTCAACGAATCCAACGAGATTTAACGGCTGCTATAAGCGGCCTTGCTACTCGCACTAATGAGCGAGACGATGCTCGCACAGAACGCAACACCTTACAAACTGCTCTTAATACTCGCACGATTGAGAGGGATACTGCTCTACGACAAAAAAACGACCTCCAAACCCAATTAAACACCGCCAATAATACTATCAACGGAGCCAAAAATCACCTCGGAGTAGGTGATTTAAATAATTTGCCAGATATGAATGGCAATACCCTTCAACAAGCATTAAATAAAGCCAGACGAACGGATACGGCCGAGACAGAAGTAGGCACTATGAGAACACAAAGAGACAATGCCATCACCGAAAGAAACACTTATAGGGCTGCATTAAGGGATGATGTGGGTTTTGACCCCGCAAATGCCAACTGACGAACTAATTTGCAAACTAAACTTAATGGTCGCAAAGTCAGTGAAATTGCTACTAATTTAGACGATGTTTTAAATAAGGCCGCCCGAACTACTACTGCTGAAACATATCTCCAAAATGATTTACGGATTAATGATTTAAACAACTTACCCAATAATAATACCGGACAGAGTTTACAACAATTAATTGACTATTACTGATTAAATGACTTAACCCAGGCCAAAATCTCGGCAGAAGGCAACTTGGATAACATTGTTTTGCGAGATGTGCCGGGTGGAAACAACAATGCCAAATATACTGCCTTGAAAGATTATTTGCGGGACCCTGCTCGGGGAAATCAAGGAACGACCTTTACAAATGCTCTAAATTGAAAGCAATGATTACAAGTTGTGAATGACATTTTGGAACTGAACCACCGCACACGGAGTATTTTGGAAGCAACCAAAATGTTAAATATGGTGGGTCTAATTGAGGCCTTTCGGGCCAGCCAAAATATCGGTCATAATGATTTGTATAACCAACTAGTAAATGACCATCAAATTATAGAGACAACTTGGCAAAATTATATTAGCAATTCTCCGCCGGCTAATTTAGGGCAGCGGAAATTAAATACTTTAAATGCCTTAGCAGAACAAATTATTGCTGCTAACCCGCTAACTAACCAAAACCAAATAAATAATTTGAAAACTCAATTGAACCAAGAAAAACAGGCCCATCAACAAACCAAAAGTAAATTGGCGGCTATTCCTAGCGATTGACAACAGCAAATTGACGCGGCTAATGCGGCTAAACAAAAAGCAGAACAAGAAAGAGATAATAAAGAAAAACAAATTATTGAAAAATTTGTATCTGAGTTAAAACTGGAAAAAGAACCAAATGATACTTTGGAAAAATTAGTTCAAACCATTAAGGAGTTAATTAATAAGCCTGATTTACAAGGGGCTTTGACAGCTGCTCAACAAAAAAATATTGAATTAGAAAAAGAGTTAAAAGATAAAGAAAATATTCCCGTTGGAGAGGACTTAGAAAACATTAAAGATATTGATTTAAGAGAATTAGAAAAGATTTTTAAGATTAAGTTATCGGCCGAAATTGTTCGCCAAATGCGACAAGTTGCTAATTATCAACAATGGGCTGAAATTCGGAATACCGAAATAGCCAACTATTTTAACGTTCTTCAAAATAGTTCCCAACGAGAAAAAATTGAGTTGGTTAGGCAGCAAAAAAACGAACGGATATTATTAATAGGCCTATTAGTAGCCAGTTTGCTAGCCATTGGAGGGTTAGCCATAAAAATTGCGGCCAAAAAAAGGAAATTGAGAAAATAGATCATAATATTTTGCCGGAGGCTAAAAATAGACGTAGGTACTTTCTCGGCCGAGAAAATCTCTGACGACTGCCTCAAAGACGCCCAAAATTGCACCTATTTCGCCTTCTTCAACTCAAAGCAAAAAACTCTATTACGACAAGCCCGTTTACTGAAAAACTATTACGGATTTAAGGAAAAGAAATCTACTTAAAATTTATATTCATGACGAGATTGTCCCCAATTAGAAGAGAGTGAATTTTAATTTATTAGTAGTCATCTTACGAAAGATTAGTAAAATAAATTAATTTTTAAACGCCAAGTTATCCAAAACATGGTAGGCAAAAAGTGAGGTCAATTTTCCCCTACTCGCCAATCCGGACAACACGGTAAAGCCGGCACTCATTAAAATTAATTATTATGGAACCAATTATTATCAAAAGAAGTTCGGCTATTGCTATTTCACCGCAAAAAATGAATGTGGTGGCGGGAATAATCCGCAAAAAAAAATTGGATTATTCCTTAAAAGTTCTGGAATTTTTGCCTAAAAAAGGCGGGCGAATTTTATATAAATTATTAGCAGGGGTCGCAAAAAGTTTAGAAAAAAGTCAGGAACAACCAGCCAATTTCTATCTCCAAAAAGTAGAAGTGAACCAAGGAAAAATCCAAAAAAGGGTCATTTATCGGGCCAAAGGCCGCACTAACCGCATCAGAAAGAGATATAGTTTGATTAATTTGTATTTGGGTCAAAAAGAAACGGTTGCTAATGAAAAAGCACTCATAAAAAATAAGGTTAACCAAAAGCAAAAATAATATTATGGTAAACGCCCAACAATTCACCAATCAACTAAAAAATAAAGCAAAAAAACTCTCTTTTAATGCCACCCATGAGGAATTGGAAGGAGAATTGGATTTGACTGAATTCACTAAATTAAAATGACTAAACTGCTCAGAAAATGAACTTACCAGTTTAAATTTAAGCCAAAATAATGATTTAGAAAGCATTAATGCTTCCAAAAATAAACTTAAAAATTTGGATTGATTAGCCAATTTGCCCCACAAAGAGAAGTTAAAATCACTTAATTTATTCGGTAATGAGATAGGGGAGGTGGATTTTTCTCTGCTTGCTTCTTTTCCTAATTTAGAATCAATAAATCTAAGTAATAATCCTTTAAATGGAAATAATTTAAACTTGGCTGATTTGAACGAACAACAACTTTCTCTGTTAAAAACATGAATCAAAGAAGGAAAAATTAAAATTAGTGATTGAAAAGGGAATGTGGCTCTTAATCTTTTACAACAATTAGTAGACTCGAAAAAAAGGATTGCTGAGTTGGAAGAACAAATTAAACAATTACAACAAAATCTAGAACAACGAGCCGAAATTGTTATAGAGAAACGTTAATGAGATGTTTTTTTAAAATGCTGAAATCGGGGCGGCAGGGTGCCTGAAAATTGTCCTAAGAGACAAAAGTCTTTGATAGTTGCAAACTACCTTTCGCCCAACTCATAAGAGTTTGAAGAGGGGGTTCTTGGCTAGGGAAGGTAAAAAAAATTATAGGAGCAATGAAAAAAAGCTTAATATTTTTAGAATCGGCAACTAAAAAAAAGACTATTCAATCCTTTTTGGGTGAAGAATATGTGATATTTGCCACCGGCGGGCATTTATGGGAATTAAAAAAAACGGGAGTATATAATTTAGGAGTGGATTTAGAAAACTTTCAGCCCTCCTACGAGATAATTGCCGAAAAAAAAAATTTGATTGGTTTCTGAAAAAATTATTTGAGTAAAGAAAAAATTTTAACAATTTATCTGGCCACTGACCCCGACCGGGAAGGAGAAGCCATCGCCCAAGAAACCGCAAAATCATTAGGAATAGACCCCATTAAATGCCAGCGACTACTTTTTTATGAAATAACCCCTCGCAGTATTAAGGAAGCCTTAAGTAATCCTTTGACTATTAACCAGAATTTGGTCGAATCCCAACTTTCTCGCCAAGTATTAGACCGCATGATAGGTTTTTGTCTTAGCACTATTTTACAAAAAAAATTACAAGCCCTATCGGCCGGTCGGGTTCAATCGGTAGTTTTGAAATTAATTATTGAACGGGAAGAATTGATTAAACAATTTGAAAAGAAAAAACTCTATATTCTTTGTGGTCTGTGCCAGGTCAACCAACAAAAAATAACTCTCAAACAAGTGGATGAGGCAGGAGAATTGATCCTTTACAAAGAGAAAAGTGTCGCCGAAGAAATTAAAAAAAAATTGAGTTTAATTTTTCAACTAGCCGGCCAAAAAGAAGAAAAAAAGTTCATTCTCCCCAAGCCTCCCCTTATCACTTCTTTATTATTATTCGAAGCCAAATCACAATTAGGGTTTTCGGTGGCTCAAACCACGCAAATAGCCCAAAAATTATACGAGGGGGTTTGAATAAGCAGCCAAAGAAAACAGGTTGGATTAATTACTTATCCCCGAACGGACGCTACTCGTATTAATCAGGAGTTCGCAAGTTCAGCCTATCAACATATCAAAAAAAATTGAGGTTTTAATTATGTTAATACTAACCCGGCTTGGAAAAAAAAAGAAAAAACCCTTAATGTTCAGGGAGCCCACGAGTCCATTCATCCTACTTATTTAGATTACCAGCCCGAAGAAATTAAAAGTTCCTTAACGGAGGAAGAATACAAATTATATAAGTTGGTATACAATCACACTCTTGCCAGTTTAATGAGTCCGGCCCAAATTAACAAAATTACTTGACGATTTCTTAATAATAATTATCATTTTACTACCACCGAAAGGATTTGTCAATTTGCCGGATTTTTGGCGGTAGCCCCGGAAGTTTATTTTCCTAATTATAACGTTAAATTAAAGAGTGAATTGATTGTTCTTTGGTCTCCGGCAATGCCTGGCATTTCCCAACTAGAAGCCTATAAAATTGAAGTCCAAGAATATCAAGAAAATAAACCGGTCCGTTATAATGAAGGTAGCCTGGTTCAAGAATTAGAAAGATTGGGGATTGGTCGTCCTTCTACTTATAATTTGTTCGGTCGAGTATTGTTGAAAAGAGGTTATGCAGAATTGAATGAAAAAGGACAATTCATTCCTACTCCTTTGGGAATTGCGGTTAATAATTGATTACAAGCCAATTTTGCTGCTCTGATAAATGAAGGCTATACTGCGGCTTTGGAAACCGAACTAGACAAAATTAGCCAGGGAAAAAATGATTATCTTAATTTTATTAGAACTTTTTGAGAAAATTTTTCTTTTTCACTGGCGAGAATTAGTGGGTAAATTTTAAGATTGTTTTTTTTTTTTTTTTTTGCTAATTACCCCGATTATGATAACGATTAAAAAGAAAAGCACAGCCAGAATAATTATTTTTCGGGGAATTTGGTTCGGAGAAGCCTTTTGGTCAGGATTATTTTGTCTAGGAACTGGCTCGGGCGGCACAGTGTTATCAGGCACATTTTCTCCATTTTCCAAGGCTCTAATAGCCGTTTCAATTTCTTTTTTCATATCCTTTGGTTCTTCTTTTGGATATCTTTTGATAAATTTCTCTTTTTCTCGATAAGGCAATTTTTCTCAACCGCTAATATCTTCCGTGAATATGATTTCGACCCATTTTTCTTTCATTAATCCTTTAATTGCTCTCTCATTGCGGTCGGTATCAATTATGTATAAAATATTCCCATCTTTTATGGAAAGAAAACTTTTAGTGCTTAAAACGGCGTTTTTAATGATAGTCGGTTTTTTATTTTCTTTTCATTCGGCCAATCTTTTTTTAATTCACTCATACTCGTCCTTGGGATAGTCAAGTGGCAAAAAAATTTTGTCAAAAGTGAAATGGTGATTATCGATAGAAATAGAAAGGGGAGAAATTAAATCGAAAGAAAGCCCTCATTCCAACAAATTAATATTTTCTCAACTGACTTCTAAATCTCTTGTGTCCCAATTTTGCCTAATTTTTTCGTGTTCCCTCTTACTTTCTCCATCTCACAAAGCATTACTATCAACCACCAAAACATTAGGACGATTTTCGGAAAAGGCGAGATTTTTTTTGGTGCGTTCCTCAATTCATTGTAATTCAAAATTGTTACTGTTGCTTAGAGCATTGGTGAGAAAAAAATTAATAGCACTATTAGCATTACAAAAAAATTCAATGGTTTCAATTTGTCGCTTTTCGCCATTCAGAGAAAGCTCAAAAGGAACCACTTTTACACGGAAAATTCAATCAGTTTCGTGGTCGGTCTGGGGGTTGGCTAACCAATCATCAATTTCTTTTCAACCTAATTTTATTCCTTTGTTGTTTAATTCTTTGCCGGTTAATTTTTGAACGGCGTCAATTTCTCCGTTTTTTGTGAAAATTATTTTTTGGATTGACATTTTAATGAGATTTTCAATGCTATTCTGGTGCCTTGCGGAGGATTCGAACCTCCAACCTCTTGATTAAGAGTCAATTGCTCTACCATTGAGCTAGCAAGGCCTCTTGTCTAATTGTTAGGCATGAAAAAAAGTTAAAATAAATACTTATTTTGATATTTTTAAATCTCTGCCAAGACTTTTTCTCAATCAATTTCTTTGTTTTTTATCCTCCGGGCTAATTCCATAAGTAATTGTTCGCTTGAAATTGCCTTAATTAATTCTAATCCTTCCAAAATCTTTCTTTCCGCTTCTTTCATAGTTTTTGGGTCAAGAGTACCCACATATTTTATTATTCGCTTTTTGTCAATATTTTTTACTTGGTCGCACATAATTTTCCCCCTTTGCTGGTTAAAATTGGAGTAAACTTCCCAACTCTCATAAAAAGGTTTAAGAGTGTGAGTTGGCGGAACCACAGTAATTCGGCTGCTTTTTCGGTTTTGGATGTCGTTAGAAATTACCACAGCAGGGTGCGGGTCTTTAATTTCGGTATCCTTGACAACCCTTTTAAATTTGCCTTTTTTCAACGGGTCAAAACGAATTAAGTAGACCCCGCCGCGCTTGGCTTCTATTTCCTTTTTGGGTTTGACTTTAATACTGACCATTAATCACGCAAATTTTTCTCATCCTCGGCTTGTATTCTATCTCATTCGGCAATTTCTTTCTTTCTTTGCTCGCCCTTTTCGGCTAATTCTCACTCTTTTTCTAGTTTTTTTTGTTTTATTTTGGCAATTTTGTCATAGTTATCTACCAACTGGCTGAGTTTGTTAACCACCATAATTTTTTTTATTTCTTTGACCTCATTGTTAGTTTGCTCTTGAAGTTTTCTAATTTCTTTTATTTCCTCCCCGAGAATACTCTGTATTTCCTGGATAAGTTCTCTGTTTTCAACCACAAAATTCCTTCCCCTGCCACTTGCTCCTTTCATTTGTTTGTTTATTTAAATCTCCTTTCATAAGTTTTAAATGATGTGCTAACACACTATAAATTATTATATACTAAGTTTTAATTAAGTTAACAAGTCTAAATCATAAAATTAATATAATAATATAATATGAATTATACTGCTCTAAAAAAAACGGACCAAGAACCAGAATACAAAAAAAATCCGTATTTGCCAATTTCGTCGGTAGGAATTACAAACTATTCAGTCACCAAGGACAATTTGCCGGCCGGTTGTGCCTTAATGACCGACACTTTGGACGGCTCCGGAAATGGTTCTTCAATCCTCAATAGCAAAGGAATTACTCACATCATTCATGCTGGGCCAAAAGAACGGTCAAAATTTCCTAGTGATGAGGAATTTATTGAATGCGTAGTCAAATCCGTCCAAAATTGTATTATTCTAGCGGAGAGATATAATTTCGAAAAATTGGCTGTTCCTCTCGTTGGTGGAGACATATTTCTTGGTAAATGCGACCTTGAAAAGTTGGCAGAAGGAATAATCCGTGGAGTTGCTAATCAATTAGCCGAGTGTCAAAAAGTAAAAGAAATTGCGTTGATAGACTTTGACAAAAAACCTCCATACTTATTTTTGAAAAAAATTCAGCAGTTAGAGAAAGAATTGTTTAGTACTACGGTTCCACTGAACGCTGATCGCTTTATAGGAATATTAAAAAACAATAAAAAAAAATCATGGGTTGGACAACAAAAAACAATAAAAGTTAAGGTCGGAGATATCCGAGATAAAAATCTACATAGTTGCTCCGCTATTGTTAATGCGGCTAATACTTATTATGGTATGGGAAGTGGGCTTGCTGGTGCTATTAAGGCGCAAACTGGTAATGCAGGAAAGATAGACGCCAAGGCTAAAGAGTTAATTAGTGAGTTCAATTCTCTGATAGATGATAGTAGTGGACCAGAACAACCAAAACCCAATCCAAAACCAGGTGATAACCCCAAACCTGGAAAAAAACAACCCTCCGACGACTCCCCAGGACCTACTCCTGACAATGGAAATGGAAATAACGACGACGGGGACAATGGGAAAGACGACAACCAAGAACCTACCGATAAGGGCCCAAAAAAAGATACTGACCAAAGTCCTAACGAGTGGAGAGAAGAATTAAAAAATGTCGATCCAAATTTGGAACAAACTTTCACCAATACCAAAATAGCCGAATGGCAGCAAGAAAAGGGTTCATTCAATTCTGCCGAGGGAGTAAAAAATCTGCTTGAAAATGTTAAAAGAAATAACGATTTTTTGACCGAAATTTCCTCCAAGCATTCGGCTCCCGACCTTAACAGTTTGATTACCAATAAATCACCCCAGGAAGTAATTATTATTATTAAACGATTTGAATACGACCAATTAAATGCTGGCGATAAAAAAAATAAGGACGCGAAAATTAGAAAATATTATTCGCTAAAAAAAGACGAAGTTCTGACTGATAGCCAAATAAATGAATATCTTTATAAAGTAGCAGTGGGAGAAATCAATGAGAGTTCGATTAAATTAGATGACAATTCCGGACAAATTAATCCTCAAGAAAACACTATTTTGAAAATAATAAAGATTAGTGCCCTCATTTTGGTAATTGGCGCTTTATTTATTCTAATCATTAGATTTATTTTGGGTTTTATTAAAAAAAGAAAAAAATAAACATTTTTTTTGTATCTTTCTGTCTATTCAAAAATATCAAGTTTATTTTAGTAATTCGTCAGTCGTTTTATTCTTTTTCATAACCTCAATAACGAATTAATTTCTATTGTTCGTCGTAATCTAAAAGATTTTAGTTTCTTTTATCTTATTAATCTTTGACAATACACCCCTGTTTATATTTCAGTTCTATTTGCCAAAAAATAATTTATAGCACTTTGCGCTCGTGGCTCAGCGGATAGAGTATCTGACTTCGGATCAGAGGGTCGGGGGTTCAAATCCTCCCGAGCGCGCCAATAATAATCTAAAATTGTTTTATAACTTAATGACTAAAACCCACGAACCAAAAAAAATAGTTTTCTGTCCGACCAAGATCGAAATCAGTTATGACGAAGACCAATGAACATGATTTGTTAATTTAGAAACCAAACCCTTTGATTATGAGGACAAGTTTCCAGTTAAAAATCCCCAAACGGGTAAATTGGAGGAAAAAATTGAAACCAGAAAATTTTCTCATTTACAATTTATTTTTAATTCTCAAAAAGAAGTCAATAATTTTTCCGCCCTGGTTAAGGCGGACCAATTTTACGAAGTGGAAACCAGCTGGTCGAGTCATGTCAAGCAAGGAAAAATCGGTCAGCCAGAAACAGAATTCAAAAAAGTTGTTTGGGTTAAAGAGACTAATCCTCAAATTAAAAAATTTTCTGCCGGAGAAAAAACAGGCGCTATGGCTGGCCGAAAATCTAACACGACAGTTTTTTTAGCAATAGGAGGAACATTATTTTTAGGCATTATTCTTGGACTGCTTTGGCAGCGAAAAAAGAGACAAAGGCTTTCTTAATCATAAGAAAGAAGACATGAAGAATTAAATTAACGAGCCCACGTAGCTCAGTGGATTAGAGCAAACGCCTTCTAAGCGTTTGGTCAGGAGTTCGATTCTCTTCGTGGGCGCCAGAACCAAAATTATTGTATATGAAAAAAAACCTACACCCAGAGTTCGATATTATAGTAATAGGGGGAGGTCATGCTGGCATTGAGGCTTCCTTAATCAGCACCCAACTAGGACATAAAGTGGTGTTAATTACCCTGGATAAAAATAAAATTGGGGCCATGAATTGTAATCCCTCAGTGGGGGGAGTAGCCAAAGGAATAGTAGTTCGAGAAATTGACGCATTGGGAGGCAAAATGGGCCAAGCAGCGGATGCAACCGCTCTCCAATTTAAATTACTAAACACTTCTAATGGTCCAGCAGTCCAGGCCCTTCGGGTTCAGTCCGATAAGATTGCTTATAGTCGCTACATGCAAAAAGCGGTTGACCAACAGAAAAATCTAACCGTTATTGAAGGAGCCGTGAAAAATTTACTAATAGAGGAGAATAAAGTCCGTGGAGTGGAATTAAATAATGGGGAGATTATCTTAGCAAAAGTGATAATTTTGACAACCGGCACTTATCTGCAACCAATCACTTATCAAGGCAAAGAAAGCAAAATTGAAGGACCGGATGGTGAAAAAAAAGTAGTAAATAACATTTCTCAACAATTACAAAAATTAGGGTTTAAATTAAAACGCTTCAAAACTGGAACTTCTCCACGCATTTTAACTAATACTATTGATTTTTCGGGTTTAAGGGTTGAACCGGGCACCGATTTGCCTCTGCGTTTTTCGGCTCAAAGTGATTATGAAAAATTATTGACTTTGTCCGAACAATTTCCTTGCTATCTGCTCCATACTAATGAAAAAACACATCAAATCATTCGGGAAAACTCACATCTTTCTCCGATTTTTTATAAAGAGAATATTGGTATTGGGCCACGTTATTGTCCGAGCATTGAGGATAAGGTTTACCGGTTTGCAGACAAGGAAAAACACCAAATATTTTTAGAGCCAGAATCTCGGGAATTAGACACCACTTACATCCAGGGTTTATCCACTTCTTTGCCAGCCGAAATTCAGGCTGAAATCTTAAAGACTTTGCCGGGACTAGAAAAAACCCAAGTAAAAAAATGAGGTTATGCTATTGAATATGATGTTGTGGATTCTACTCAATTAAAACCCTCTTTGGAAAGCAAATTAGTTGATGGTCTATTTACGGCCGGGCAAATTAATGGCACTACTGGCTATGAGGAAGCGGCCGCACAAGGGTTAATGGCCGGAATAAACGCCAGCCGTAAAATAAAAAAACAGGAGCCACTAATTCTCCGCCGTGACCAAGCCTATATTGGAGTATTAATTGACGATCTGGTGAACAAAAAAATTACTGACCCTTATCGGCTCTTGACTTCTCGAGCTGAGTATCGCTTATTGCTACGACATGATAATGTTTGCACCCGTCTTTGACCAATTGCTTACCAATCAGGTATATTGTCAGAAAAAGATTGAACGGAATTTCAGAAAAAACAAAAAATCGGTGCGGAAATTAACCAAGAATTACTTAGATTGATATTTAAAGTATCTGGCGAATTGCTGAAAAATTTCCCTCATTTAGATATTAGCCAGTGAAAAACTATCAAGACAATAAACGGCTATGATTTGCTGAAAAACACCAAGGTCTCCTTGAAGGAATTTCAACTCTGAATACCGAAAATAAAAGAATTAAATTGAGAAGAACAACGCGAATTAGAGGTTAATATTAAATATGAAAAACAGATTACCAACCAATTGCAAGTGGCAAAAGAATTGAGTCAATACGAAGCCAGAATAATTCCTCCTCATATCGATTACTACCAAGTCGATAATTTAGCCAAAGAGGCTCGCGAAAAATTAACCAAAATCAAGCCGATTTCTCTGGGTCAAGCTCGACGAATAGGAGGAGTTAATCCGACTGATATCCAAATGTTGAGTTATTATTTGAATAAAAGATTTCCTTCGACGGAAAAGTTATAAAAAAAGGTCGTTCTGAAATTGCGTAGATATTCTAAAACCTTCAAACATTTTAACCTTTACCAAAAGAAAATTTGATTAAAATAATTAATATTAATAATGAATCTAGAAAAAACAACTTTATCAGAAAAAACTAAAAATAATTTGCACCGGGCTGGCTATCGCCAATTAACCGATATTCAATTAAAAACTATTCCTCTAATATTGGCAGGGCAAGATATTATTGCTCAATCTCAAACGGGAACCGGCAAGACGGCCGCTTTCTTAATCCCTATTTTAGAGAAATTAACCGCAATTCACAAGCCACAAGTGCTAGTGCTAGTCCCTACTCGTGAATTGGCTTTACAAGTAAGTGAGGAGGCACGAAAATTATCTCCTCACACCAATTTACAAGTGGCGGCGGTTTATGGCGGTGCACCAATTTACCAACAATTACAGGCTTTTCGTCGGGGCGTTGACCTAGTAGTAGGGACTCCTGGCCGAATCATCGACCACATTTTTACGCGTCAAAGTTTCCGGCTGGACCAACTAAAATTTGTTGTTCTGGACGAAGTGGACGAAATGATTAGCAAAGGATTTTTGCCCGAGATTGAAAAAATAATGAAAAAAATACCAGAGCAACGCCAGACTTTGCTTTTTTCTGCTACCATTTCCCCCGAGGTAAAAGGTTTTGCTAGCCGCTTTGCTCGCAATCCTACTCTTATCGCTAGCCCTACTAACGATTTACCAAATAATACAGAGCACTATTATCTAGAAACAGCTTCCTGACGGCAAAAAGACCGCGATTTAGTTAAATTTCTCTCTGCTAACCAGTCCAATTCCGTAATTGTTTTTGCCAACACCAAAAGAAAAGTCGAAGAAATTAAAGATATTTTGCTTGACAAGAAATTAAGAGTTGACTATATTCATAGTGATTTATCCCAAAATCGCCGCACCCGCGTTTTTCAGAAATTTCGGGCGAAAAAGATTTCTTTGTTAATTGCTACTGATGTAGCCGCTCGGGGCTTGGACATTAAGGACATTTCCTACGTGGTTAATTATGATTTTCCGCAAAACCGCGAGTTTTATATCCACCGCACTGGACGCACTGGACGAGCTGGAGCAAGTGGCAAAGCCCTAACTTTTGTCAATTCGTCTCGGGAAAAAAGCCAACTATTAGCCATTTCTCGCCAACGAAATTTTAAATTAGAAAGATTTATTAGCCCAACCGGATAATTTTGTTTTCATATTTACATTTATTCGAAAATATTCCTACCTATTTTTGCTTATTTTCCTTATAAATATAAGCCGTGAAAGTTGGAAATTCTCTTTTTTTAATTAATTCCCCTTTTTCTCAATCAGCAAAAGGAAAATAAACATTTCCTTCATAAATCCCCTTCACTAACGAAACATAATAATAATCCGCCATCGTATAAGTTTGTCGGTAGACTTCACGACCACCAATTACAAAAATGTGCTTGGTGGGATTTTTTTGATAAGGTTTTAAGACTTCTTTTAAGTTGCTAGTAAAAGTTAAGTTTTCTGCTTGTCAATTTTGATATTTTTTGGGATTCCTAGTAATTACTATATTATGCCGATTTTTTAAGGGTTTGCCAATGCTAGCAAAAGTTTTTGCTCCCATTAAAATTGTCTGACTTGCAGTAATCTGTGAAAAATATTTTAGTTCAGCCGGGATTTGTCAAGGCAATTGGTTGCCTTTTCCAATGAGATTATTTGTGTCCATGGCTCAAATTAGATTTATCATTATTATTTTTTTGAGGTTTCGCGAGAGTTATCTCTACAAAGTTTTATGATTATTTGTTTCTACTTTAGTCTTGGCAAGCAAGCAAAAAGCATTTGTATTTATGTTTCTGTTTAACACTTGACGTGCGAAATATTTCGTGTTTTGTATAAAATATTCTTTTTTTTAGCCTGCGGCAAAATATTTTCATTTATTTTTCCAACTCTTCGGCCAATGCTAAAACTTTTTTGTCATTTCCATAACTGCTATTTATATTAATGCTAACCGGCAAATCATTAACAAAACCAATAGGTAAACTTAAAGAGGGTAAACCAGCGAAATTGGCTAAAAGCAATAAATTATCGCTCCAATGAGAAGATATTAATCCAGCAAAAGAATGATTAAAATTAGCCGCCGGTGGAGCGGTGCTATTAGTGCTGGGAAAAACTAGAAAATCATAATTTTGCAAGATTTTTTTCACCCACTTATCTACTAAATAACGCATTTTTTGAGCCTTGACAAATAATTCTTGGTTTTCTAAAAAATAAGACCCGATTAATAGCCGTTGTTTCACTATTTCTCCCAAGTATTTACTTCGCTTGTGAGTAATGGCAATGTTTTCATGAGGACCGTAAGTTATTCCTTGAAGCGAATTAAGATGACTAATTAATTCACTAGAACAGAGAATTAGATAAGTAATTTGTAAATGTTCTCGTATGTTTTTCGGTATCGTTATTTTTTCAATTGGGTATCCTGCCTTTTCCAGTTTTTTGATAGTTTTATGATAAAGATTGTTTAGTTCACTCGATAAGTATTTTTCTATTCCGGCCACCACCGCAATTTTATTTTTGGGACGAGAGAGGATTTTTTTTCGTTTTGCTACTGTTAAGAGGTCATGCAGATCGGGTTGGGAAATAATGGAAAAAACCGACTTTATAACTTGGACTTCGCGGGCTAAAATCCCTACTGTATCCAAAGAGGAAGCCATGGAGATAACTCCACTACGAGAAATAAGGCCATAAGAGGGCTTAAAGCCAACTATTCCACAATAGGCGGCAGGGCGACGAATGGAGTCTCCCGTATCATGCCCCAAGGATCAAGGAGCCAGGTTTTCGGCGACTGCCCAGGCCGAACCCGACGAGGAACCTCCTACTATACAAGAGGGATTGTAGGGATTAAAAATCGGTCCGGTGGCAGCATGAAGCCCAGTTCCTCCGCAAGCAAATTCATCTAAAACAACCTTGCCTACCAGTTTTTTTTTCTTTTTTTCCAGTAACTCAATGACAAAAGCATTTTGGCTGGGCTGAAAATCGTCCAAAAATTTTGATGAAGCGGCAGTAGAAAATTTCTGGGTCCAAAAATTATCTTTGACAAAATACCCTGCTCCTTTTTTTTCCGCATTTTTGTCCGAAATAATACTAGTATAATATTTTTTGGACTGGTTTTTTGATTTTTTGAACATTATTAATTCTTAATTTTAGGAGAAAATTGTGTTTTTTCTTTTTTACCAATTATCGGAAATGAAAGTTACTGCTGGGTCAATTCTAATCTCTTTTACCTAATAAAATTATTTTTCTTATCCGTGTCTATTGAAATAAATAATTGCTCGTAATTATTTATTCTTAAAATATTCTATTTATTATTCTTTTATAAATTCCAAAATTTTTTTGGCGTTGGTGAAAGGAGAAATTAAACTCGTGTCAATTTCTAGGTCATAATTTCACAGTTTACCTAATTCCTCCATTTTAGCGAATTGGTCTCGTGCTAGACCTAATGCCCGGTCTCCGCGAAGTATCTCTCTTTCTTCTATTATTGGTAATTCGCATTTTACTTTCACATAATAGACGCGGTGATTTTTCAAAAGAGAAGCGTAATTTTCTAAATCTTTTTTGTTTCAAATTACTTCATCAAGGATGAGATTATGACCGTCGTCGGCTAAGTATTTGACAACTTTGCGAATTGACTGACTAACTTTTTTTCCATAATTGCCACTTTCTACTTTCATAATCAGAAATCCTTTCTCATCGGTTCCCGGAACAAAATTAATTCCTTCATTGGCTTTTTTGCCGCCTGGTAAATATTTAGCAGACATAACTGCAAAAGACACATCAACGCCAGAAGTTAATCATGGCTCCTCGCTTAAATGTTGAATAGCTTTTACCAAGGAAGATTTTCCGGCTGATGAAGGTCCATTTAAAAAGATAATTTTACTGGTCATAACTACTTGACAAAAAATCAATTGTCGCTTTATAAGAACATTTTTTGTAAAGTAATATGTGGGGTGGTCCCACACTAGAACCACCCCGCTTTTGTAAAAAAACGATGGGTCGTTTTGTTACCTATTTTTACCAAATTTCTCTTTATAATAAGTATGTCAATCAGTATGTTTTACCAATTGTCAGTTCTTATCTTCTTTGGCTTTTCACACTTCCTCTATACCATCACCAGCATTATCAAACTCAATTACTCCTATTGTTTTTTGAACCCCGTCAATTTCTTTATTTCAAAGATAATTACCACCTGCGATAATTCCCTTTTTAACTTCTGGGGCTACAATATCAGAATAGATTTCAGTTCGTACGTCCCGACTAACTGCTGTATAAGTGCGAGCGGCAACTACCGAAGCAGCTATGCCTATTATTCCTAATTTCATTCAAAAAAACTTATTTTTTAACGTTAATTTCATAGTTAATGTGTAATATTATTTAAAAATAAAATAATTTGCGAACAAATTATTTATTTCCGTATTTCATCCTCGACAATCGCATTTCTCATTCATGGATAAGTTTTTTTAACTCATCCTTATATCTTTCTCTTGTCGTTAAATCTTTATCGATTATTTCAAAGTCATCTTTGCTGCTTTCTTCATTCTCTATATTATTTTTGATAGTTTTTATTTCCTCTTTTACCTTTTCTAATTGTTTCTTACTTTCCTATCAAGAACCCCAATTCTTCTTCATTTGTTTGAAGATTTAAATAATCTCTTTGGAATTTTTGAAGTAATAAGGCATATCAGAAACTATCTCGTTTCCTTTGTTTATTACTGATAGTGATAACGAAATAGATAATAAAGTTTTTAGTATTGTATCTAACATAATATCATAGTTTATTATTATTTTTTAGTCTTACGACTTCTCAAAAAAAATGTTTGGAATTGAGCCAACCCCTTTCACTGGCTGACCCTTATTTCCAAAATGCACTGGCAATGAACTATCTTCCCCGTAAAGAGTATTTTCGTCACACAAGTGCTTGACTTCTGTATTCGGAATGGGAACAGGTATTACCACTTGGTTATAATCACCAGTACTATATTATTTATTTTATACTTTTAACACTTCTCCCAGGAACTAATCATTTCTGGCACACAGCAAACAGGGCTAAATCATAGAATTAAGAATATTAAGAAATCAAGTAACCTGTTGCCGTATGGCATTAACCTAATTGGATGATGGAGGCGAAAGAAAGTAATAATAGGGCTGGTTCGAATGGTGAGGCGGTAGTCAAAGAGATAAGGTGGTAAAGACACTGTCGATTCTCCCCAGCGTTATTGCTCACGAAAAGATTATTTTCTATTTTTCATAAGGACAATTGAGGATAATTGGACTACAATCCGATTTGAAGACTACACTCCAATTGTATTAGGTGTGAGCCGCAATTGAAAAGTGATTTTAATGGCGTGAGTAACTTCTTATCCACGAGAAACTTAATAGACAAAGTGATAAGATGCAACCTTAGGGTGAAGTAAAAATTATCTTTTTTGTGGTTTTTTTCTAATCGTAAACTTAATCTTCCCTAGTGTTTCCTAAAGGTAATAAGGTAATCAATATGGTTCCCCAGTTCCCAAAGAGACTTAAAAAAATGAAAGTGTGAAAAGAAGTATTTCCCAAAAAGGTAAAGACTACCAACAAAATGTTTATAACCTCCCGCGAATGCGGGAATAAGTGCCTGGTGCTGCTGTGTTTAATTAATGAGGAAGATAACAGAGCCCCAAGTGGGCGTAGTGATTTTATTGGTTCATTTCGTTTAAGTATAACGAACGGGACAATGAAAAGATGAGAAAGAGAAAATTAATCCAGTTGAAAAGAAGTAGAAAATGATGAAAAGATTTAACAATAGGAAAACCTTGCTAAAAAAGTTTGCTAGCCCGTTTAAAGCGAAAAGGCACGAGAGCGTTTAATTGTAGCGTTCCAAATCGTTAACTTTTTAGCAAAAAAATAAAAAACGAAGGATAAACAATTATAAAATGGTTGTCATTTCAACCAGGACGAAGGGTGTGGTTTCGAAACCCATAGTCTTCGTTTATTTTAAATGTTTAGTTCTTTTTTAAATTAAGATTTTACAAATTATAAGAATTAAATAAGAAAGTAAATATGTCAATAACAAAATCTTCAAAAGATACAAAATTTTCAGACAATTATAACGAAATAATTAAGAATTTAAGCCTAATTTTAGACACAAATGAAACCAATGACTCAAAAAAGAAATCAAAGAAACTCAAAACTCTTTTATCAGAAACCAAACAAATAGTAACTCAAAAAGAGGAAAAAGAAAGAGAAGTCCAAGCCAAAGTTGAGGAAAAAAAAGAAGCAAGCAACATTATTCCTCTATTAACCGGAGTTAAAAGAGAAAAAGCCCGATTTACAGCCACCCAAACTACTCCAACTGGGAATTGAGTAGCCAATGATAAAACTGGTTGAGGTGCTACTTGAAATTCTTTTATAGGAACCGGAACTAATCCTTGACGAGGTTCCGGATGAAATGCCGCAATAACCAATCATTATCCAGCAAATTACAAGGACAACTTGTATAAAATCAAAGACCAAACCTTCCAAACTACGGAAGAACAAGCAATCCAATTATTAGCCCGAGTAATTTATGAATTAGGGAAAATTGATAAGGCTGATTTAATAAGTAAGCATGGACTAACTGGCACAGATAAAACTAACCTAGAAAATTGATACGACCATATCAAAATTCAATCAGATGCCATTGAAGCGATGAATAAAGATTTAACCATCAAAACTTGGGATTTGCCGCAAACTTACACCCAAGAACAGGCTATGGGAACTAATACTCCACGCTCAAACATTTTAGATTTTGACCAGGTTTTCAATTTCCTGGAAAAATTGAACGATGATTTAATTGACAAATTAAACCAAGACCAGATTACCAAACTAGAAACTTGAAAAATAGCCAAGTCGGGAGAAGCCTACACGGCTGATGAATTAGAAACTTATGGCATTCTTTTAGCTGACAAAACTAAAACCACTCTTTATAAATCCACTAAACAAAAAGGAGGCAGATGAGTGAAAGATGAACACGAAGTAAAAATAAGACAAGGTTTAAAAGATTGAACTGAATTGGCTAAACTAATCTTTGCTGACAATGATAACAAAACCAAAATCAAAGCCTCCTTCAATAATTCCCCTAATCAGTATTTATTTACTGATTTAAGAAGTCAAAATAGTGTGGATAATCCTTTTACTCATGCCACCCATAATTATCGCTTATTTGAAAGTGAAAAGGGGGTGGAAAAATTGGAAGAAGATTTAGATACCAAAAAAATGGCCGCCTGCTTCCGGGCTGGCCAATTAGATAAAGAAATCTCTGATGGCCAAAAAGAAATAGATGATAAGCAAAAGGAAATTGATGGTAAAGATGCTGAAATAAAGACTTTAGTTGGCGAAATCTTAACTAAAAAACGAGAAAAGTTGAATTCTTATAATATTGCTAAAGGATTTGCTAAAACTTCCACCGAGGATAATCGTCGGGAAGTAATGGAATTAGTCAATATTAACCAATTACTGCTCGAAATCAGATATTTAGAGAATGACGGCGATGCTACTTCCATAAGCACAGTAGACGCTGGAAATACCGCTCTAACTGAAATAGAAACTATTTTAGCAGAGGCGGGCTATAGTGGAGGACAAACTACTTACTTAGTCTTGCAGTTCCGCAGTTTAGCCTATATCGATGGTGGGGATGGTAAGTATGACATTCAACAGGCTATTAGCCGCATAAAAGCTGGTAAAGAGGAAAATGTTTCCAGTTGAGGGGATTTAGCCAAATTTAAACAGCATTTTGAAAACAAGGAAAAATTGGTCAAATTAGATGAGTGAGAAAATGAGGCTCTAAAAGCCATTGAAAAAGCCCTTAACGGCCAAGACCAGCAAGAAACTTTAACCGATTGACAGGCTAAATTAAAAGCCTTAGACCCCACTTTGGATGACACAATAATTACCGACTCTTGAAAAACTAAATGAGGGGCAATAAAGAAACATGGTAAAATTGTCGAAGTGGAAGCCTTGATTAAAAAAGTAATTGGTTCGGATGGTAAAATCAAGTCAGAATTCTTGGAAGAAATAAAAAAGTCAGATGCTACTTTAGTAGATTTGAAAACTCTTTTACTAAAAGAACCCAAGGAAATTATCACCCTCATTGCCCGCTTCGTTTATAACCAATTAGATGATAGTTCCCCAGAGGAAAAAAATAAAAAGAAGACCCAAATGAAACGAAGAATTGCCAAAAAGTTGAATAAAACTAATGAAAGCGAACTTAA